CAAGCGTCTAAATCAAGACGAAGGGGCGCACATGTGAGTTACATTATATATCCTGGCCGTGTACCCGAACGAGAAGGAAGCAGTGAATGAGTGCACTTGCGTAGACGACTACCTATCCCGCGGGTCCGGCGGCTCTCTTCCATGCTTTCCACATTCCATAAAATACCAAGAAATTAAGAATGGCGCGGTGCCGGTCGCACTGGAAAGTTACACGTCCATTGGACCCAACCTTCCCGGCATGCTCCCGTAGGCTCCGTAGATTCACGGACGGCCGACGGCCACCGCTGTTGCGCCGAGCGCATCATCGTTCACCCAAGATATGCTCAGCACTAAAGGGAAATCGAATCCCGGGAGAAGTCTACCTTGAACCTGTGGGTGCAGACTTTAAGCGCCTTCCCGCCTGCATTCGGCGGCGGGGGGGTAGACGAAAGTTTGGAGAGGGGGAAGGGAAATCCCCCATGTCCGCGTCTTCTCGCCGATTCATGATAGTTGCGAAATAAGCTTCCTGCACGCTGCAGAAAAGAAGATGGCATGTGGCAATTCCCAACTTGACGAAAACGACACGGCGACGGCCGCCGGACCGGGAGCCTGCTCCCAGCAAAGCAAATAATGACATGGATTCGGGAAATAAGCTTCAATAAGGAATCGTGGGATTGCGACTACGAGATGAGCCGGAGGTGACGAAAAACAATTAGGTCTTGTACATACTTCTCGCTCAATGCAATATGTTGTCTCCTCTTCTTCCCTCTTGGCGTACAAAAGGCTAAACCTTGCCGCGAACTTTTTTCTTCTTCTCTACTCCCCAATCCTGAACGCCTGCGCCGTCGATTATTTCCCATGGTATATCCCAGAGCGTATATATGCGTGTACAGCAAACCATGCCAGAAAAGAAAATCCAGGGAAGGGAATATGACATCAACAAGACCTTTTACGGCAGGTCATCCACGTAACCTAGCGTATCCCGATGATCGTCGCAGACTCTCGCAAACTCTAGCAAAAGCCTCCAGACGTACAACCGCATGTCCTCACGCCTGAGCACCTTGTCCGCCCACTCCTTTCCCTGCTCGGCAATCCACCGCGCCGCGTCGTCACCTTTGCTCTTCTTCCCAAGCACCTTGTGGACGCCCCATCCCCGAGGCTCGTCATCATCGCCATCCGTAAAGAAGTCCAAGACGCCGTAGAGGTCCTGAAAGGTATTGTCAAGCGGCACAAAGTGCATCCACGGCGTGAGCCGGTCGTCGTGCCACTCGGCGTACACCGTCGCCTTGAGCGGCACGCTGGTCGACAGCATAAACGCCCTGAACCGCCCGCTGAAGCTATATCCGTCCGCGTCGGGCAGGAACTTGCTCGTGAATTGCTCGGCCATGGGCGTGCCGTTGACGACGGACAGGTGCGACGTTAGCCAGCCGCACTCCTCCTCCCCCCTGCGCCGGTCGTGTGCACTGGGCCCGCACAGGAGCTGCGTGAACCCGGCGTCCGCGAACCGGGACAGGAACGCGCCGAGCCGCTTGTCGCGGCGGCGCTTGGTGTCGTAGCGATCTAGAGGAGGCATGTCAAAGGTCATGGCCCGGACGTCGTTGGCTTCCATGCCGCGAACCGTCGTCCCATTGAGCATCTCCACCAGGCGCTGGCGGTGGAAGTGCATCCAGTTATCCGACTTTGCGAGGCCGCCCGAGCCGATGCCGCGCCAGATAAGGCGGTCGCGCTTCTCCGGCCACGCGGGCCCGCGGACGTTGCCGCCGGTGTAGGATGGGTTATCGGAGAGGTACATGGCGCCCGGGATGAGTATGTCCGAGTTGACGCGGAGTTTCGAGCCTCCGAAGAGGGGGATAAGATCCCTTGTGGTGTTGACGTTGAGCGGCTCGACAAAGGTCCCGTGGAGCGAGCGGAGGTGTGGCTGCACACATGGGTCCATGGAGCTCGTGAAGTTCTGGACGTAGCCTTGGCGAGCAAAAGGCGCCGTCCACGAGTATGGCAAGGTTGGCGGGAGGGAAAGGTCTGTCGCAGCGGGTACGTTCTTGGCTGGGGTATCTGCAGGGCAGGCCTCTCGAACGAGATCCCAATACTTGCGACGGTCGCCGCTGGTCCATTTCGCAGAAGAAGCAAACTTGCCCTGCGTCGCATCTACACCGGCCAAGCTCTGGAACATACTCGTAGCCTTGTTCTTCGTGGGCATAGCCCTCTTCTTCTCCTCCTTTGCTACATACTTCTCCATATCCTTGCGCGGCACCAAGATTCGGGGCTCCTGCATGTAGTTGATGGGCATGTCCACGTCCGGCAGGTGTTGCGCAAATTCGGTCACCAGAGCCGTCCAGAGCTCGAGCCATGGCTCCTTTCCTTCCGTGTTCCCCTGTCCAGTGGCCGTACCGTTTCGTACCCTCACAACATGGTCACCGGCGTTGGCTTGCTTCGTGATGGTCTTGGGCTCGAGGGCCCAAAGCGGCCTGAGATCGTCATAGATCCGGTCAAAGAAGTCTTCGACAACGATCGCATCGGTGTCCATGGCGCTGCGGAACCATTCCTGAAATCCAGGCGGCGGATGTCTGCCCCTTCGCTCTCGATAACGTTGCGCCGCATTATGAAGCGTGCGACTTCGTTTCTGAAGCACAGCCGCCTGTTTCGTTCGCGCGTCGTGAATCAGCCAGTCGATCGGGTTCGCGTCGGCATTGCTGGCGTTGAACGGGTACTTGAAGTAGTCTGTCGCGGCGCCGTCGGTGAACTTGATCCGGGAAGCGTTGCTGCTGATTGTGTCGCGGTACATGTAGGTGCTCGTCAAAATAAGAGTCAGAATGAAGACGGCCAGCACGCCTTTGAGCAACGGCTTGGCCGAGCTGGGCGGCGGACGGTTGGCCCTCCATGCCATTGCGACGACCCGAGTTTTGTCGCACTCTCAAGTATATGAAGAAAGGATCAGATCATTGGTGTTGTCTTTCGCGCAACTGATGGCACATTCTGGAGATCAAAGGTCAGCCCGCCTGCAAGTTCTTGATGAACATCGACCCTCCAATCGTTCGAGAAAAAGTGAGATGCTCTTTTGCCGTACGGACAGTATTCGTAAATAGAATACGCGGCTCCGGGGCCCCTTTCCCATCGAAGCAGCGAGACTGGACGACACCCCCGGTTCACTGACGTGGGGAACATTGTGCTTGGTGGGGGAAATTGCACCGAGCCACTTTAACTGAGCCCAGCCGGGACGATGTGAGCCTTAGCTGAATGAAGTTTGAGAACTAGCCATGACGGAGATGCGGGACGGTTAGTAAATACGCTCTTGAGGCGTTGTCTCGCGACGTTGAATGTCACTTAGTTGGGAAGGCGAATAAAACGCCGAGGAAACTTTCTAGGTTCAAAGGCACGGATCTGCGACCCCGCTGGTCCGCAAATCATCACTACGGGCAGGTTCACCAAGCTGGCTTGGCACGGCCCCGTTGCAATACCGTCATGCCAAAACACTGAACACAGGCCGTGATCCCATCAACTGCTAGATGGCGTCCATACATGTACATGTACTTTCCCAAGAGGTCATACCGGATTATATATCTATCCGACCCTATTGTTCTCATGTTCGCCTAAGAATAGTTTAGAAAAGAAGCAAAGGTTGAAGGAAGACTAGGGACGGATGTAGTGACGCCTTCTAGCAGTTGATGGGATATTATGTCTAAAAAAACTACATAACGGCCTTTAGAAATATGCCACGGCGGTATCCAAGGCCGAGGAACTTCAAGATCTAGATTTCCAACAACAAATGGCCTGATGCCCTCAAACAGTCGATGCATCACCGGCGGCCTTCTACAGCAGGATGGCGTTGAGACTGTTTGTGGTGTATGCTATGTCTCCCTGTGAGACGGCCCCTTCAACGGTATTATCAGAAAATCTCTATGAAATAGCGGTTTTGCAGTGATAATTCAAAAAAACTACAATACTGACCATGTGGCTCACTTCCCGCCCCATTTCTCTTCGCCGGCATGCTTAATGAGAATAAATGGTAGAATTCTCTTCTTCGTTCTACGCGCTGTGATACTTTCAGGGTACGAAAACAAGCTTCTCAATGTTCTGAAAGGCCGAGAATTACAGCTCCTACAGTTCATGACTTACTGCGACTGCTGAAATCATACAAGAAAAACCTCTCACCAAACCCTCAGTGTGGCCGTCTGTTAGATAATAAGAAATAAGTAGCTGTCATAGACCAACATCGTGAAGTGCGCCTCAAACTCCAGGTCCCTCCTTATCAAATGCCCAGCAGATAAACATTTTCCCATTGTCCAATCACTTTCTATCAAAACCAGGCACACTACTTTGAAGCACGCGACTCAGGTCCCCTTCCCTCGGCCGCTGCCCGAAGTCCATCAAGAATGACGCTGCCCATCTGCACACATACGGATCCCTCCCTCTCTTTCGGCATTACACGGGATGGCCTATTTTCAGGGTCCACAATCTATCCGCATCGAACATTACGTCATTCCAGTGGGTTCAGTGCAACACAAATATCAACTCTTTCGTTACCAACAACGTTCACGTGGCAGTCGGCGATGAGCGAGTGAATAGTGAGGCTATTCGATGCAATCCTGGTCGCATGAAAGTAGTGGGTGAGCATGGCTATGACCGTGTTCATGGTATAATCGTGTCTCTTTTATCTCATCTTGTCTAGCTGTAGTCTTGTGCGCGCAGCTGCAGTCGATAATCATGTGCGACCATGCCACCCTCTCGCTATGCTATCTTTCTCATCTCTCCATGCTTTGTAGATGGTAATCTGAAGCTAGATGCCGCAATGTGTCTTGACTCCCTTCCTCCTCTTCCAGACATTGTCTGACCAAACCCAACGCCTTTCTCGTCTAATGATACAGATAACCCTCTCGCGCGATGCTTCCCTTTGTTTTGCTGTCTCAACTCCATGTCACACAAGTAAGCGGACCCGTAGGTGCCACAGCGTGTTTGATCATACCAAATTCCAATCGCAATGCTTAAGAAAACAAAAAATCCGCAAGCTAGTTCAGATACGCCTCTCAGTTGTGCGATTTGACAGGCTTCGCGGCATGCCGACCACAGCGGTGCGGGTTCTTGGGAGACTTGATGTAGCAAGTGTCTGCGGCTTCTCCAGAAGGCAGAGGGCCGTACTTTTGAGTGACGGTGCAGTACTCCATCTTGGGGCCCATCCATTCTTTGAGGTGACGATGCAGCTCGCAGCGGGAAATTCCACACTTTCGGCAGTACACCTGACCCTTGACGCGCATGCGCTCGAGATCGTGAGCGTGCTCCTTGAAAGCCTCCGGAGGAGGTGCAGCCGAGTCGCTGTAAATGAGGGGACCGGCGAACCTCCATGCCCATTCCAGGTCGTTGGGACCGTTGCGCCGGGACGTGAGAGGGACCGGACCGTGCATACGTCGATGGATATCGTAGAAGTGGCTGTTGGTTAGGCCGAAACAGGTGCTGTCGATGGGGTCGAGGTGGTCGAAAATGGCATAGTGTAGCTCGGCGGGGAGGTCGAAGATGTCCATGCGAGCCGAAGGACGATGGATGCGCGCCGGAGGCTCGTAGTCCATGACTGAGTAGGAACGGCGCGGGGGCGGCAAGGGAGGTCGGCGGACCTGGGGCGGTTGAGGAGCGTTCTTCATATCCTGCATTGGAAGCTCAGATTGTTCTGGAACAGAGGCAATAGCATGCCTCTCTATAGCTTCGTGTTGGGTTGAAGGAGGTGCGGGATACGGGGAGGCTGTAGCTTGGGGCGCGGGGCTGCCCTGAGCTGATGCCACGGGAGAGTCGGTGATGGACCAGCCGCGACGAGGAGTGCGCCAGCCGGCGCGCTTCTTGCTGAGCTCATCGATCATGACCTGACGTTCCTCGCGGGTCATCATCTTGTTTTCCTGACGAGAGGCGAGGTTGGTTGCGAGTAATAGACGGGCAACAGAGGCGACGTGGTCGGCAGAGTCTTGAGACTGCTGAGGTTGACCATTCTGGGCGAGGCCTGAGGGAAGTACTTCAACCATCGTGAAGAGGGGGGGGGGGGGGGGAGGGGGCACTTGTGTAACGGCGTTGTGTTGTCCTGGGAGGTTCGTCGTCGATGGCCCGAGCTGGGCTATTATGCGACGATGTGTGTGGTGTGGAAGTGAGCGAGCGGGGTTGGAGGCGGCCAACCAAGTTGAAAGCTTGGTGTCTCGTGAGAGAGAAGGAGGGGTTTCTTTTCCGTTGATGGAGGTTGAGGATCACCTATCAATGGAGAGGGGAAACGATGTCGTCGAGGAGGAGGGTAGTAGTTGTCTCGTCGTATTCAGGCTGAGGAGGGAGGATCAATAGTCTTCGGCTCACTTGTGATTTGCGAGTCGAGTGAGTTATGTTTTCAGGTAATAGCAATGTTTTGGATGGGAGGGCCAATGTTGGATGGCGGTGATCGTTGTTGCGAATGGGAATGCCTCAATAGCAAGTTCATGAGGCGAGAATAGGGTCTTTGATCAAGGGCCCAGGGGAGGAGTTCGTTAGATATATAAGGGTACGTCAACGGCAAAAGCAAAGAAGTGACAGGAGCCCGATGAGGTAGTGTCTAGTGCAGATCGGTCGAGGTGCTTCTCTTTTTGAAGAGGAAAAGAAGAGACGGGAAGACAAGGAAGAAGGGGAAAAAAGGGTCTGAGGGTGTGTGTGCTGTGCGTAGACTAAGTGGTGTGATGGAGCCAGCACCGGACGGGAAAGGCGATGTTTGGCCGTCGCGACGTCCAGACCGACGGAGCCAACTAAGTCGCAGGTACAAGCTCTAAAGAAGGAGGATATGTCGGCCGATGGCAGGCCAGATTAGCGGGCTGTTATTCTGGGGGTCCTTGACACACTACAGTGAACACTACCTTTGCCTGGATTGGAGAGCCATACGCCATAGTGGCCAAGTCACGCATCTCCAACTGTCTACGGTTCTCACAGCACAGCGCCTTTTCTCTGTCCATCTCTGTCCAGTCAGAGCCAGTGTCTCCCCTGATAACCTAGCGGATAGTGCGATGGATGAAGGTAGGAACGCTAGGTATTCCCGGGCTGCTAGGCCATGGAATAAGTGAAGCGTGGGAGGGGTTGCTGGTCCCTTGGTCTCTTTCGTCTGTACGTTTTCTGTCCTCGATGGCTTCCCATTGGTTCCGGGAGGGAACATGGCAGAAACAAAAACGGAGAAATTCGGTCATTGGTATCCTCGCGCGAATCATAAATTGCCATGGAACTCTTCCATCTCGCTTCCAGCGACTCTTTGGGAACCACAGAAACTAAAAGGTAATCTGGGATATCTCGCAGATTTCAAACAGAAAACACTGGAGATCAACTGGAAGGACCGAAAGCCAACCCCCAAGCGTGTCCCAGCTACAGCTGAAAGAGAGAGGCTTTCTTAGGCGCTGAAGGGGTCTTTGCCTGCGAACGCAACGGTCTCTTGCAAGCGCCATCACAAAGTACCCGGTACCTGAGCCCGGCTACTTTCGTCATAAGGCAATGGTAGCGCCGTTCAGGGTACCGCAGATGAGGGAGCCACTGACTGAAGGAGGAAGGCATCTAAGGCAAGGCGTTCCACCGTCGTCACTTCCGACAGACACCACGCTCGGCAGCTCGGAAAAGCGAGAAAGTGTTGCGAATCACCTCACCATCTACCTACATCCTATCCATACTCATGACCGAAAGAAACCAACTGACAGCAACTCTCGTTCACCCCTCGTTTCTCCTCGCTTGGCGCTTCCGTGTCTTGGTCTTGATTGACCTACCAGAGCCTCCATGCATGAAGCATCCAAGGGAACGAGGACGAGGGCACGAGGGTTGGCGCAGGACACTACTCGTTGATAGGCCGTGTTCCAGCCCTCGAGGATTCTGGAATTGGCCAGACGTTGACAGCATGCATAGGAACCGGCTAACTGACTACTTCAAGGCATGCTTTCAACGATTGCAAATGGCGGCCATTCATGAAGGGACTTACGCAACCCCGAATCAGTGCTTTAAGTCGTAGACTGATCCCTCGTTCGCACGTCAACCCATGCGAGGTAATCATGGCGAAAGACATCCATCAGTCGAGAATGATGAACCTTCCAAGCCGACTGAACTTGGATCATGAACTTTCTGCAGCCGCCAACGAGCTACCTTCGCATGGCCAGCAAGGCTGCCGCTCCCGCTGTAACACACCGGCAGCTTGCACACCGGGATTCAATGGTCCCATGACCACCCAGCATCGGCCGAGTGAGGCTGCTGTTACGCTGCCAATCGCACGGCACTCGTACAGTAGTCTGTGATCTATCAGATCAGGACAACGAGTATGCGCCTGGTTGTCATGCTAGCTCGCCCTTCTGCCCGTCTCTATCTGTGCCTCCGTATCCGTAGGTATATACCCTTCTGAGGTCTCTCTATACTCGGCTGTTGTTACATCAATCCTACTTAGCCAGACCGCCATCGAGAAAGGAAAGAGAAGCCAGAAGCAGGGTATCCGTCCCTCTCTCAGGGATCGACGTCGTCATGGCTGCTGCATTCGCTGCACCACCCGCAGGTGTCCCCCAAGATTTGTGGGGTTCATCAAAGTAGCGGTGGCGAAATGGTTGATGATTGCAGCGTACTGTGTAAAGGGACTTCAAACATCATGCATACTGGTTGGGCGTTCATCTCCTGATTGTCTCCGCATCTCAGTGCTCACTCACTTTATCTGATTCCCCCGGTTCCTCTCCAATGGGCAACCGGGGAAGACTGAACATCTGGGGAATGTCTTGAAAGGGTATCCCGAGGCACGACATATCTTTTGAGAGGCGTTGTGGAAACATACCGAAGAGTCACAAGAGAATTCGCCAGTCTGCCTAGCTTAAGTTACTTACACTACAGCAAGTAAAGACACCATCCTGCTCACGCATCCGGTGTGGTAATTACATCTTTCTACAAAGCTTCCGTCCCCCACGGACCCCTCCCGCGCCCGCTCCCGCCGTCGGCGCTCACCGATCAGGCCAGGGCAGCCGGCTTACATGTGTGTGCTGCCGTCCAAGTATACTTCAGGGCAGAGCTGTCAGTCGGGCATGATCTGACTTCTTGCCGCCCACCTGCTCGTTCTACTAGCCGCAAGTTTTCAAGCAACAGCTCGAACCGCGTCATGAAATGATGGAGTTGGAAACTACGCCGCACTCCAACTTGCGTATGCCAAAAGCAAGACAGCGGCACAGCCGGGAAGCTCCTGTGAATTGACGTGAATCAAAGAATTTGTCTCTATCACCTGCCCATCTGTCGAGGCGACGCTGTGTGTGTACTTCCCTCACACCCAGAACCCGAGATAACTTTTTTTCTCTCTCTCTCTCTCTCGTGGTTTATGACCGTCTCCGCTACCGGAGCAGGCTCGTTCACGCCGGAGAGGGTGTACGGCAACGTCTTCTGAGGATTCGTCCATCCCAACAATCTCCGAGGGGGGTTATTCCCGACTCGCGTGCTTGTGTAACCATGAGAATCTTCTTTTCTTCGTGCTGCAACCCTCCTTCGTCGACAACAAGCTTTTCATAGAAGGTGCACGGCCATGCACGCTGGCCTAGATTTGTTCGTGTCTACGGGAACCGAAAAGTTTGCTCACGCTTCCGCCGGGAGGCGAAGAAAAGGTTAAGAGAGGAAGAGGAAAGACTGGAGCTCGTTCATTACCGTGCCCGACTGGCAAGCAGGTTCGGATGTTCGTGTACCTTAGGTAGACACATCGAAAAGAATAAAATATCATCAGGGTCCGATCGCGTTTCTTTTCTCAGGTTGGAGAGCCTGGACGTTGGCGCGGCTTGAGCAGTATGTCATCGTGAAAGGAGGCCCGTGTCTCCTCTACCTTATGAGCTGCCATCGATAACTGAACCCGTAGCTTCAGCTCTACCGACAAGTCCTATCAAGTGTGTGTAAATGCTATGTAATGACTTTATTCGTAGAGGGCGACATTGATCCGTTTTGTCAACAGACCTCGAAGTCCTTGATTCCCACACCGGATGCATTCACAGATATATTCACAGACTGTCGAGTTCCTTGAGTCTGCCGTCCTTATGCTGGTGGTAGCTGTACCCAAGCCGCCTGCGTCACACAATGGTTGCAATACTGGCATGGCTCAGATCTTATAGGCGCCGGGAGAAGGCTAAGAGAGGCATAATAATGACACTTCGAATTGCAAGGATGCGACCTTGTGTTGTGTAATGCACTGCTATACCACCTGGCAACGAACTCAATAAACATATAAACAAAGCTATTGTCATCTGGTACAAGCCTGGGGCGCAACGAGTCTCGTGATTTGCATGTATTCTCACTAGAAGAAGAAAAAAAAAGAACTCCGGCTATTTTCCGTGGTTTGGAGACAAAAGCAACTCAAACACATGAATAGACCTTGCCCAATCCCGTTCGCCGTATATGCCTGCTTGACTAAGGTAAATTCGGACCAAGAAAGTGAACTTCATCCTTTTTGAAGCTGGACACTTATCTATGGGGATGATGCCATTGCGTCTTGGTCGTCAGGCTGCTCTGGTTGTGCCCCCTTTCAGGGCGTTCCCACGCGCCGACCCAGTTTCCGTAAGGCTTCCGTTCTTGCGAATGCGCCCATGTGGTTTGTAATTTTGGAAACGTAAACGAGGATGAGAGTGGACGCAGACCTGAGCACGCTGGGTCAACCGCCCCCCCCTGTTCATGTCCTCGAGTACCGAGCCTTGCTGTCACCATCGTTTAGATTGCGACCCAGATGAGCATGATCACGACATCCATGCCCTTGCCCTCGCCGCCATCGTACTTGTAGGACCACATGCCGTCCTTCTTCTCGTCCCAGTAGGCGCCGGTGGCGGAGTGCATACCGCGGCGGCCGACGTGGGGCTTGCCGTCAGTGGCGGTCGCATCGGCGCTCGTGGAGACGGAGGGCTCCTCCTCCTTAACGGAGGTGCCCTTGGACTTGTTGAGGGAGGATGTCGGGACGAGGTGCTGGACGATTGTCGAGTTGCAGGCAAACTTGTATGCGGGTGCGGAGCCGCCTTGGGGTGTCGACTCAGAGATGACGGCCTTGAGAACGGAGGACTGGCGAGGTTCATGAGGGTTATTTCATGGAATCTCTGGGTGACAGCAGCGGCATCAGACGCAGGGAGGAAAACGTACAATGATCTGAGAGTTCCATGTCTCGGTCTTGGCGTGATCGTAGAACTCAGCAGAGCCGATGGCTGATTGGCAAGCCTGTCAACGAGACTGGGTTAGTGGGTTGTCTCCTAATGTTTTGGCTACATTGACGATGTTGTCGCATGGGCAGCTTACATCCGTAGCAATCTGCTTAAGACGGTTGAAGGCGACGGGCTGTCAAGATCGAGTCAGTAGGCGGTCCATTGAGATCTTAGCGTGGGGGAAAGTTCAACATACGGGAGTCGCTGTCGTAGGGGCGGCGGGCGCAGACATTGTGATCGGATGTTTTGTTTGGGAAAGGGGAAGAAAGATTGTAGGTTGTTCGAAGGCTCTGTGCGCTTGCTGGTTTCGTTATGTATGAGGTTCTTGGGAGTAGGAGGTGTGAAAGTGTTCTTGAGCAATTGTGCCAATATTTTGAGTGTATGTAAGTTGTGAAGAGGTTGTGTTGACAGATCGGGACAAGACGACAGAGATGAGGCTCCTCCACAAAAAGTTACCGGTGTTGTGATGCCAGCCCGATTCGGCCGCCTCGCGTTGCATCCACGGGCCGTGCTCCCCAGGTGCGCGGGGCAACGAGAGGTCACGTGTCTCTGTCATCGAGAGGTCTCTGCCTAGCCACAACTACATGGCCCCAGCTGAGGCTTGACCTCTTCAAGTGTGGCTTCCCCAATCAAAATGCGATTGGATTGCACGTGTACCTTGCTGCAGAAGTTTGCAGGCGATTGACATGGATCTGTACTGTGGCTGGTGGGGAGGTAAGCTCTAGCCGTGCACGCCGTGCAGGCTTAGCGTCACAAGTCTGCTCTGCGATGGAGCTTTTTTCCTTGAGGAAGCGGCTTTTGAGGGGCTAGTCGGCCGCAGTGCAGGTGCATCGTCTGTCGTATCTGAACAAGCTTTCAAGCGGGTTCTCTCGGTTACAGATTCTCTCCTCCTCTCTTTCCTCCCTTCTCTCCCTCACCTCCATCTCCGCAGTCTTTTCGTTCATATCCCTGATAGAGTTTTTCCCGATTGTTCAGACGAAAAATAGCGAGACTGTAGAAGAGAAAGCAGTTGACATCGCGCGACTCGCTTCCACTGCCCCCTTGTCACGATAAACACCGTTGCGGTTCCGACGACTAGCCCGACGCGAGCCCGAGCTCTCCAACGACGCCTCAATCGCAATTCTCTGACGTCGCATTGCCATTCTCCTCGAGGATTCTGGTCATCTTTGCCGAGACAGTAAACAGTAGACTAAGGGTAGGAATTGGGCACACCGAGCGAGGAGACGAAAGACCGCCGACTGAACCAGTCCAGGTTGCGATAGAGAAAGCCACGACCGCAAACCACGATACCTAAACTCGGGACAGTCCAGTCAGAAATAGCAAATCACAATGTCTAGCCAACCTCTTCTCCAGACCGCACCGGGTACGTACAATCACGACGCCGTACACGTCATTGCCCGAATAAGGACATAAACAAGAGAAAGTGAGAGGTCACTAACAAGGTCGCATTACCAGGCAAGCGCATCGCCCTCCCTACGAGAGTCGAGCCCAAGGTCTTCTTCGCCAACGAGCGCACCTTTCTCTCATGGCTCAACTTCACCGTCATTCTCGGCGCCCTCGCCATCGGCATGCTCAACTTTGGCGACCGCCCGGCCTTTATCAGCGCCTTCCTCTTCACTGGCGTTGCCATGCTCACCATGATCTACGCCCTAGCCACGTACCACTGGCGTGCGAAATCCATCCGCGTCCGCGGCCAGGCCGGCTTTGACGACCGCTTTGGCCCCACCTTTTTGGCCATCATCCTACTGCTGGCCGTCGTTGTCAACTTTGTCCTGCGCATAACGTACTCGTCCAAGGAGGGAAAGCACTAAAAAGTACGAGTAAACATACTTTCTAATCCCAGCCTCTGTTCGTAATTCCGAAGACAAACTTGGAAAGAGGAGGGGCGGGAAACGAAAGCAATGCCTAGGCGTTGGCAGTTTGGGCCTCGCGAACCAGGAGAGGCGGGCTTTTGCTAAAATGCTTAAGCTACGACAAAGGCGTATGTACGAGGAAGGATTGAGAGTTGGGAGCGAAGGATTTGTTGTTTTAAGAACAAGTTTGCGTAGTTTTGTAATTTGGCAGTTTTCCTATGTTTAGCTTAGGCGTACGCGAACAGAAAGCGGATGTGGAAGGTGTATAGTTGATAGGAAAAGCGAATGCATCGGATTAGGCGTCGGAAACATACTTTACAAATCTACACTGCGCTCTTGTGCTGGAACCTGCTTACCCATACATGTCATCATCAGATGGATACGGCTCACGCATAAATGTTTGAGTATGAGGGAAGTTGCCTTATTGGTTCCACGTCTCTTCTTCCCCTTGCTGCCTATTCATCTCATGTTTCCAGCGGGTTCGAAAGCTTTTTGATATCGACTTTATCCCGCCCGTTTTGGGTATCAAATGGTAGCCCCTCCTTTCCTATAACGCCTCTCGATGCAATGCCAATGCTGGATGCCGTTACAAGCGACATGTCGCGGCTCCATTCCTCGGAGATCTCTTTGTCTTTTGTTCCTCCTCCCGTCTCCATTCTCCGGGATCGCAGCTCACGGGCTCGAATCCAACCTCTACCCTCAAACGACCTTGTTCCAAGTTCCCGAGCCAGAGCGCAGTCGAGCTCGCAGTGTCATCTCACTGCGCCGTGTTCGTCTGCGTCGTAACATCCCCTCGGGCCTTGAGTTCCGGCACGGGCGCCAACGAAAGGAATATGCTCAGCGACTTGGCCGCACGCTTCACCGGCTGCGGCAACACAGCTCTCTCGAACCGGGTCTTCATAACCTCGAAATCGTCTTCGTCTCTGTCTTCATCATCCGAGCCATCCTGCGTTCCGCCGCCGCCGCCTAGCACCGTATCTTCCACGACATCAGGTTTCGGCGGCAGCTCGTACATGAGGTTGTACTGATACCACTTGCCGCCGCTCTCTTCCCCCTCCTTTCCGTCCACGCTCTTCTTCTCCGCCGCAACGATGCGCTTCACAGTCTCCACAATCGAAATCATCTTGGCGACCTCGCCCGGCCGCGCGTAGACGAGCACGACGCGCCTCCTCGGATCGCCGTCGTCTTTGCGCAGGTGCTGCAGCAGCCAGGTCACGCGCTTCTGGATCTTGGTGGAGGAGATGGTGAAGGCGGGGAGGACGTCGTATTTGGATCTGAGGTCCGCGAGGAGGGCTTCGTGCGAGGGGGATAGAGGGGTCGTCGGGCCATTGACGTTTGCGCTCGAGCTCGCGCTTGCGCTTGTGTTTGTCGTCGTTGTCTTCGTCGTTGTCTTCGTCGTTGTCTCCGTTGCTTTGCTCTTCTTTGAGACGACTGCGGCGGACGAGCCGGCTGCTGCCGTTGATGATTTTCGCTTCTTGTCGTCGCCCTTGGGCTGTGTTGCGGAGGGTTCAGCCATGGTCAGCCTTAATGAGACCTCGAACCATAGCAGACGCGGCTGCTCAATGACTCAAGGGTGTGATGCGCCGCGCGGGGTCTGAGTCTGGGGTTGAGATTGAAGCTCCAAGACAGGCGTTAGGATTTCTATCGGCAAAAAAGTGTGGTCTGGATCTCTACCTTATCGATAGAGATCTTATCGAATTGCATCAGACGCTTGGACCAGCTTTCGGAGCCGAGAGGGCACAGAGCCGCGACGTCCAGTCTTGGACCAAGAGCTTCTGATTGGATGGCGTCTTTGATGTTCATAGCATTCGTCAAACGCTTGCTCTAAGGCCATGTAACGCATGATGATTACCATGTTGTATCGTTATTGATACCACTATGTGATGTGCCAGACTAATCATAAGCTTTTGAAAGTACCACGACGATATCCTGAGCCTCGGGAGCAAGGCAAAGTGCTCTCAAGATAGGATGCCGTAATGAAGTGACTAAGCGTTCAACATCGAGAATGTTTAAAGCAGCGATGTTTCCTAGCGATGGTCAGACACGAGCTCTCGCTCAATGCCGGACCTGGCCTAGCGTTCCGCGGAAGATGGAAGGGTCCACTGGTCAGGGCGCCCATGCGCCGATGGTCCTTCTGTGGCTTCTCGACTTCACATGTTTGGCGTGGCCTGTGCAGCTGATCCGCCTCTTCTCCAAGGACGCCATTCTTTTGATTCGATGAATGAAAGTGCGCCGTGTTGCGCCCTGTTCTGGTTGCAGCATCTCGTAGGCTTGAACAAAGCGAATATCAAAATGGTCACAATATGTCCACCAGAGCTATCTTCAGTCAGATGCTGGTGGACTGCCAAAAGCCTGCTTGGCATCTCGGATGGAAGGTCGAGCCAGAAAGGTCCGTAGGTTTACTGAATCATGAGCTTTGCGACATTTCGTCATCTAGCAGCCCCCAAAGTGGTCTGCGATAGTTCTCCCCAAGATTTTCCAAGCTTCCGAGGTGCAGCGTGGCACCGTTCAGGCCGAGCTGCACGACCTGCAGCGGTATTAATCCATTTTCGCCAGGGAGCGCTCTTGGGAATCCCGGGATAAGGCCTGGAGAAACGTCGTAGATGCCGTGAAAGGGTAGGGAGGCCCGGGGTTAAAGAGGAACTTATGCGGTTCTGACCTTGGCCGCTGAGTCGGGGCGACTCGGCATCGTTACCGTTGGGTATCGTCGCAAGACAACGCTGCTTCATTGGCTTATTCCAGCTCCTCAGTCGCAATATTGCTGGTGAAATTCTGGAGATCCCGGCCTGGCTGGTACCTCGCTAGCGGTGCTCAGGTATCTGAAACCAGAACGGGCTAAAGGCGAGCTGGGCAGCGCCGGGTGGCGTGGCGTATTTTCAGCGGCGATCCCATGTCTATCTGCATGTCGCACCCACCCATCCCTCCTCCATCATTGTGTGAAGCTGGCCATCGTCAAGGCCACAGAGTAGGGCTCTAGAAGACGCATGGATGCGAGGCTTGAGAGGGCGACAAGCAATCAAGGTGCTTCGATGGTGCATGAAGCTTTCGATGATGAGGCGACAGAAAAAAGACAGCAAGGTAAGCGGAACACAAGAAGATGCGATACACGGTCGCCGCAAGGCGTTACCTTGTTTCTCAGGGTCCATTTCCTCATGTCATCCCACGTTGTGTTGCTGCGGTCTCGCCCGCGGCCTCCCATAGCTTGGGGTCGCTTGCTACCGGTAGAAGTCTAGTCCGCATCCACGATGCCATTCGGAAAGGGGCGTAATGGAGGAGTCGTCGTCGTCGTCGCCGTGGACGCTAGGCGCAGCTTCTTGGTAGGCCAGCCGGAATGGCGAAGCTACGATCCAGACGAATAAGATCCGAGACTGCCGCTAGGTACGTGGAGAAGAGAGCGCGGCGGCGTGCTCGACAACGACGACAGTGAACTAATGAGATGCGTCGTTGAATATTTGCATTCGTCAAGCAGTGAGGGGCGGATGTTGACTCATTTGAACAGACACAGGCGATGCTATACCTTGAATTCCTCGTCCCATCCGTCAATAAACATTTCATTGAGTTGACAGCCAGTATGCACAATCTGGCAGCTTCCGAGATCATGTCCAACCCCGCGCCGTGTTTGAGGAACTTATCGGCCAGAGAGAGGTATGTTGGTATGGGGAGAGGCATCCAACATACGGCGGCTGGCGCAATGGGAGGAGAGAAAAATAAGAGGCCCGAACCCGAAGGTTTGTGGAGTGGGAACATTCCCACGCCTCCAGGTACTTTTAGCTCGTGCAGCGGCCGTCTCACGCCCCAAGGTACATGGCTGAGGCGTTTCTCGCACGGAACCAAAACAAGTCGGGACACACGCCATGAGCTTTCCCCGTCTTCTTCTCCTCACTAAGGAACCTTGGTCCATGTACCTATCCGTAGTGCCGTGCCTGGGTGCTACTTAATCAATCTGCAGGCGGGCTGGATAAGACACATGTCGAAACCTTTACAAACAAAACACGATAATCAGTTGGATCGGCAACTTGCAAGAGAGACGTGCAATTTGGATCCTGGGCGTGATAGATAGCAACTAGGCCAGTGGTGATAGACAGCCCTGAGACTGCGCTGCACATACGAAGTTGCATCGGCGTTGCCTTCACCCTCTTTATCTTCCCCCTATATGCTCTACTCCGTACAGCCTGTCAGATTCTTGATTATCGCGAAAAAGGGGGATCCCTTTAATGAACCTCCACAATAGCTGTGCCCTTACCTAGATTACCCGGTACAGTTGAGTTGCAGTGTTGTTGGACGCGCCCACCATGATCAATCCCGTTCTATTTTCGGGGCGGCGAAACACGTATTGCAGCGACGCCAGAAAGAACCCGGCTACTGCCTACGAGTTGTAAGAGACAGAAGCTCGGAAGGGCCCCCCGTCCGTCTCATCGTCCCATCAGATTCCCATCCGCCATACAGAATAGGGGAGTTGGCACCCAGTTTGCCAGGCTGAATTTTTCTGGATTCTGGAAAGAAGGTGGAAGACGAGGCCAAACACAGACACAGACGAAGACGGGACTTATGAGGAACTGACGTCCCATCTCTCAACTCTCAGGGACTCGGGGACAGCATTATCCTCTGAGCGCATCGTTCTCTAACCAGTCTGTCCTCGTTCTCTTTGACAGCTTTGGAGTTCAGTGCGTATGCCGCTGCCGCTGTCGCTGCCGCTGCTCCTGCCGCTGTCTTGTTGGTCGCCCGTTTTTATTGTCGTCTGCGTCAGGACTTGCATCTGGCACACACACTCTCTCTCTCAGGAGTCAGGCTGACAGAGAGACGTGAGAGAACACCACTTTGTTGGAGAGTAGAATGTGTAGGACTGACTCTTACTGCATCCCTTTCTGACGGCCGAACCGTCCGGGTGTCATTTAGGTTGTGTCGAAGATTGGGTCTTGCTCTCCTGAGTCCTACCACAAAACAAGAGTAAGTAAGGTAGGTAGGTAAGTACACAGCACGAGGTACTCCGTATAGAAAGTACCAAGTCTGGGTAAGGAAGGAACCTGGGAAAAGGGCACCTCCGTTCCTTCCCTGCTCAGTGTCCCCGTCGTATTGCACATTATCCCTGCAGCTGCACACCTCCTTCCTTGAGTTTCCCTTCGCCTTCCATTCCTTTTTTCTTTTTTTTGGTCCGGTTGTCTGTATGTACCTCCCGTCTCCAGTTGCCCCCACACCTGGGTCAGACCAGCCAGTCACCAAACTCACCAAACAAGCGCATTCCCTCGTTCCCTCCTTCTTTCTTGCAAACAAACCAATCAGCATCGCGTTTCAGAGCACAATCCTCATCCACACCACCCACACACCTCGTACCTCTCACACCCATCTCTCTTTCTTTTCACACACACCCCTTTTTATGCCTCCCCTTGCATTCAATACACAAATTGCCTTTTCCTAGTCAGTCGGGTCCCTCGCATCATCGCCAAGTTCCAACACCAACAAAGCACAAGCGCAAAGCGCCAAAACATCCACCTCAGCTTTCTGTGCATCCACCTCGCCCCGTCCACCTTTCTCTTGTTGCTATTGTCTGCTAAGGAGATACTGGCATACTGCTACATGCTTGCTTGCGCCGCCGCCTACGGAGACCTTTACCGCACCGCCGCTGCGCCATCGACAATCAGCGAACGAGAAACAGAACCACCCGCAGAGGAACACTTCCAATTCGCTCAACTCACGGCCCATCTCCTTTTCACACTATTTACCGGCACCATTTCGCTGGCTGGCTGCTTTTGCTACCTTACTTACCGTACGGATACCTTACTCTCTGTGTGTCTCTCTCTCTGGCCCCCAGGATCCAAGGCCCACCCGCACTCGCAATCACCACCCCAGAGGCCAATTTCCCACCAAGCTCACGCACGTCGCCCGCCTGAGAGGTCTGAAGCTGCCTCCTTCCCCGACCTCTGACAGTTATTCTCGCTCTTTCCGCTGTCATCCCCATCTACAACATTTCAACCTCCTCACAAACAACCACTTCTCCCCCCAAAACCGCTCCAAAACCACTCGTCCACACGACATAGAGAACCATCGTAGGCGTCGCTTCTTTTATTTTGCTCGCCCAACTCTCTTCGCGCATCCATTTTCGCACCATTCTCTCGCGCGATATCGAGGCTTTCGTTAGTTCTCGATTCTTCTGCGTCGCTGTCTTCGCTGCGCGACCGTCGCAATCCCATCCCTTTGTCGCCGACTCGTCTGCTTCGGTCTCCGGCTCTCTCTCTTGCCTCTGGCCTTCCTGACCGGACGCCCGACCACATCATCACGCACCACTCGCCCCCCCCCCCCCCCCCCCCCCCCCCCCCCCCCCCCCCCCCCCCCCCCCCCCCCCCCCCCCCCCCCCCCCCCCCCCCCCCCCCCCCCCCCCCCCCCCCCCCCCCCCCCCCCCCCCCCCCCCCCCCCCCCCCCCCCCCCCCCCCCCCCCCCCCCCCCTGCCACCCCTTTTCGGGCCCCATCATCCAAGGCCAACCAACGCACCACACACCCGTCGCCTCGTCTTCACCCACGCCCAGAGCAGCCACACGCTTACACCCGACTCGTCCGTCTGGGGAATCCACTGTTTACGTCAGCCCTCGTCGCCAGCTCGCAAGCTCATTGCACGCACCTCAGCTTTTTGGCTCCTCTGCCTGCATCAGCACCACGTCGCACGCTGCAGGTGCCTGGTCCGTCCGCCACTGCCACATTGCACCTTCGTCAGGCTGTTGCCTCGCGCCTCATCTCACGTTCGCATAAAGTCGTCAGGCCGCCCTCAACGCGACCTTTCATCCCATCACCTTCGTTGCTCTCAGAGAACCGCGCTTATGTTCCGATCACTCTGGAGCAGCGAGCGGGGAAGCGAAACGACGATCAGTCACATTCAACCCATGCCATCATTCGCGCAAAAGCATCAGTTCATTCTGCCGCAACCTGCGCAAACGGCATCACTGGCGGGCCCGTCGTGCCCTCAAAAGAGGCGTCTGTCAAGCGTTGACGACTCACCTTCACCAGATGCACTCATCGCCACTGAGCAGCCCTTGAAGCGGGCCAAGCTGGAGAGCACCAACCTCGCCGTCTCTGACATCCCTTCCAGTGTCGTCTCTGACGTACCAGCATCCGCGTCTTTGCCTGTGCCTGTGCCTGCCGCTGTTCCAGCAGTGACTAACGACATGGAGGACGCGCGCGACGCTATCCAGTACCAATTTGGTCTTGAGATCTTGCTCAAGCACAATGAGCTGAGGCTAATCAACCAAGAACTGGCAAAATGTCAGGTTGCTCTCGAGCAACTCCGTCGCTGCCATCTCATTCCGTATCCTACTGCCTGTCCCACTCCTGCGCAGATGTTGGATATCAGCAACGGAAAGGGTCCAGCTCTGCAAAACCGTCCGGGAGAGCCTGTCCCCCAATGGGCTGCGCCTTTTGGAGTTGTCGATGGACCTTACGCTCGACACTACGCCAAGTGGCTCATCCCCGATATCAAGTTTGATGGCATGCAACCTGAGTGGTACCCAGTGCTTGAGACTGCCCGTAGCAGAAGCTCAGTTGAGGGACGAACGACAAGGAACAGCATGTCTGATCTCGCCAGCGCAAACAAGAACCGCTCGACTCGGGGTATTGGCAGCCAGAAGCTGCAGTCTCTCTCCAGCGGCTACCCTCAGCCAAAGGAGAAGGCCGGACCTTGTGTTCTCAAGCGCTCCGACGGCCAGACTGTGAAGCTCGTCTGCTTGGATTGCAATCGGGAGAACTTCAGCAGCACTCAGGGCTTCATCAACCACTGCCGCATCGCCCATAGGCGAGACTTCAAGAGCCACGAAGAGGCGGCTGTTCATTGCGGTCACCCCATCGAGGTTAACGAAGGCGGCAGTCTTGTTGGAGAGGAAAAGGCTCCGCCTCCCCCATCAACCGCCATCGCGTCTGGTCTCGTCCATCCTTTTGCCCAGACCGACATGTCCACCCAACAGGCGTACGTTGCTTTGCGTTCTAGGATCGCAGATTCCCTCAAGTTGTATCGTGATGGCAAGCTGCCTGGCGTTACAAGCATCCCTCAAAGTACTTCAAAGGCAGAGCCTGCGAGGTCCGCTGCGCCAAAGGCTGGAAACTTCGTCGCCTCGGCTGACACCCCCTTCCTTTCGCGACTCATGCAGAGCAGAAACTTCACCGGCAACCTCAGTGACATTGTCAGTGACGCCAAGGAGAAGATGTCGCTTGAAGACCTCACATCGCCAGGTGAGGAATCGGAAGATATCGAGACTGGTCTCGGCAGCCCGAAGAGCAATGCTGGATCAGCTGCTCGTATGCCTGCCATGCGCATGCCTGCGAGAGCACCAATGTCACCCGTCACTCTGACTTCGTCGACAAGACCAACAAGCAGCAAGGGAAGGTCGCCTTCTACAGGCTTTGCTTCGCCTCCCATGAGCAGTCCCGAGAAGGACGACGGACCCACCAGGGTAGTAATACACTCTGGTGAGGATGTTGACATGGAGGACGTTGACCTCAGCCCCAGCACAATGGTCAGCAACAACGCACCTTCGCTTGTCAGCGACGATGGCGAATATGATGACTCCGATGACGGGTCGTCCGAATCAGGTGTCAGCGACCGCATGGATGCCGAGTCGGTGTCTGACGTTGCTGAGATCACACTTGATGAGGATCACGATGGACGCCCTCTTGGTCATCACAGGGAGTCTAGCGGAGTCGGTTCCGGTACTGCGATGCGTCTCAAGAAGGATGAGAACAAGCATGTCACTTTCGTTAGCCCTGTCCACGACAGCGCGAAGCGAGCCCGAAAAGTTTAGGGCGTTTTCGGCACTCTCTCGAGTCTGATAAATGCTCTCCTGTTTTTTTGCAACAAGATCTCTTCCCGAGGCAACACCTAACTTGCCGCCAACCCCCCTTTTCACTGCTTTCTTCGGCGACCAAGACCTTTTTTGCGCATACATACTCCTTTTTAGTCGACGAAAGTTCTTTCCCCTCTTAGTATTATCCTCTTTATTCACACGACTCTGCGCAACCAGGGGTCAAATAGGACAGGCAAAAAAAAGCAGGCTGCGGTGGCGTGTGTGGCCGGAGATGATAACGTCACTTGTTAGAGATATGAACCGGGCGTCACGGTTGTTGGGAAGCGTCTGCCTTTTGCGTACTGTTTATTTCTTGCTTCATTTGCTTGTAGACTTTATACTGTTACAACTTCACTGCCTTGGACCAAAGTCCTCCTGGAGGTAGGGGACCGAGGCCCGCAACGACACTTGAGAAAGAGGGAGATGGTCTCCCAAAGGAGGGACACAAACGCTTATGAGCCAGCTGTAGGATTCGAGGACACTCGTGTTGTATCATAGCGGTTGGAGAAGAAGGCTTGATGAAAACAATGACGATAACGAGCTCACATTGAGCAACCAATTTTGAACCATCCCACGCAAGTTTCACGTGACTTTTGATGATGTTGATAGCCTTCTTCAAAAGACTGCATTCTTGGCGCTGAGATTTACACTTGGCAGGCATTCACTGAAGGAGGGGGACTAGTCAGGTTACTTGGTAGAGATCATCGGCGAAATGGGTATGCTCCACCGACTTCAAACTTGTCGAAACTCGCGCACATTGCGCCGAAGAAAGGAGATCATATGTAGCAGACAAGATGGTCCAGAGAATTGCCGTCAAGGTCAAGTAGTCTACTGTGACGTCTCTACGGATAGCTAGGTTCGAGGTTCGAGATTGAACGCTGCGAAACAATCTACAGGGCCTTTTTGCCTTGCCCGCAATGTTGTTTATCAAAACCAAGTCTCGTTCCGTTTTCTGTGTATCTGCGACACTGTCCTCGACTGCTGGCGGAGAGGTGTACCCTGCGTGCATTCCGTCGGGATCACACTGGTCTGGGCAGTCAGCATTACCTAGGAAAGTCGGGCGGACTGACGAGTATGAGACACTCGAGGCATTTGAGCAGGTACGCTCCTTGCTTTGGGAGTAATAACAACAGGAAAATAGAATAACAACTGAAAAGCATGCGTTGCGGATACGTACATGCGCGCGAGATGCTGGGGAATGCATGTAGGGTAGGGTGGTGTCGTTGGCCCGCGCCGCTAAGGCAAGGTAGGTTCGGAAATGTTTCAAACAAACATCGAAATCTGGAGGGGGCGTGGGATTGGATTGCGTTGTCGCCGAGTCAACTACCCGGTTTCTGCGATATTTTGTTTCGTTTCTGGCTCTCTCGTTGTTGTATTGTACGATGCCACAACGCATGTGTGTCGACCTGGAGAACTGGGGGTCTCTTGAAGACATTTAAGAAATGGTTTCCGTGGATTTCACTTTGTGTTTTCTTCATTTCTTTTTTCTTCGTGTAATGCTGTGTAACTTGGGCTACTGCATAGTCGCCAAATCAGAATGTCAGTTGCATAAGGTACTTGGTTCGTGTTGAGTCCCTTTTCAGGCGGCAGCAGCAGCAGAGGAGTGAAAAGTTGGAAACATACGTTGAGCGACTTCACAAATATCAACAACGGGATCTTGATACCACACATGCTCTCTCTCTTTCTTTCCTGTTGAACCTGATTCTCTCTCTCTCTCGTCCATGAAAAGTGAACTTCATGAAGGGCTGGATTGGAATTAGGTAATTACAAAGATTAAGCATATACAAATGGTGGTTTGGTTTTTCTTTCGCCGTTCCCCCGTTTCCTTGGCCCCAAATTCTCGCTTGGGTGTGCCACATATGCTCCGTTAAATCAGGTCCTATCCTGTCCTGCAAGTCTTTGACAAAAAAACATTGCCAGAAATCTCTTGAGCACCGTAAACATAATCGCTTTAAATGACATGATGTTTTGGTATCTTGATTCCCCCACACCCCTTTTCCTAGATGGGATTTGGGAGGAGGGAAGATTATGTGCATTATCTTGCAAAAGATATTGATGTCGTTCGTTTAGAGGACAGCGGCAACGACACCGGCAACGGCGAGGAGAACGCCGCCAGTGTTGCGGGCGAGCTGGCCGACGCCAATGTTGGCGGAGCTGGAGCTGGAGCTGGCCGAGGCGGTGGCCGAGGCGGAGCTGCCAGAGGCGCTGGTGCCGGTGGCGGCGGCGGTAGCGGAGGCCGAGTTGGAAGCGACGGCAGCGGAGGCGGAGCCGGTGGCCGAGACGACGGACTGGGTCTTGCGCATGGCGGCGGAGCCGTAGAGGGAGGCCTGCTGGCAGTAGATTGTCACCTGGCCCTGGGCGGGCGCGGCGCGGGAGTCCTTGGGGCAGTTGTTGTAGCAGGTGGCGACGGCCTGGTAGGCGGCGCAAAGGCAGTCGTAGTCGGTGGCGTTGCAGTCCTTGACCTAAAGAGAACGTAGTGTTAGTTGTCGGTTGTTGTTTAGGTTGTTCAGAGGATCTGTGGGTTTTATTTACCTTTGCGTTCTCGCTGGTCAGGCAGGCCTCGACGATGGGAGCGGCGTCGCAGTCATCATCGGCGGCGGCAACAACGGCAGCGAGGGCCAGAGCGAGAGGGTAAAAGAACTTCATTTTGAGTGTGTGGAAAGTTTTTCTGACGGTCAAGTCGATTATTACGGGGTTGTATTGGTTATCGAGAACGACGGTTGTATGGTGGTTCCAACGAATGTAAAGAGTCTCAAAGACTTTAGCGAGTGACTGGACGAACCGAGGAGAATTAGGTTTGTCGAAGACGAAATAAGCTGTTTTTGATGAACAGTGGGTTGGCGGAGGCTTATTACGGAAGGGGAGGAGGAGGGAAAGGAAAAGAGAAGAGAGAGCGAAGGGCTGGCAGATGGAGTATATTAAGCAAATTAGGGAACAGCAGCAATTTCATCACAAAACGTTGTATCCGGACTTTTATGATCCTCTTGGGGGGGGGGGGCACCCGCTGGCTGGGGGTGGGAAAGTGAACTAGCATCAGGATCGAGGACAAGCAACTCCACGCACCCCCTCGACTAGGCCAAGGAGGGCAAAAGCAGTGGCGCGCGACGCTAGCGAATTCGAATATGTGATAGGCCCGTCAGGCATTTTCTCTTCTGCTCCAGGCAGAGGAGCCAACAAAGTGGAGGGACAGATAGGATGGAAGGGGGGAGCGGGCCCCCATCAAGCCGCATCTCCAGGGGTTTGGTGGTTCGGGGATTCTTGCTTGACTGATGGAGATTGATGAGGCTACTCTGCTAGGGCCCCCGTATTCCTTCTATATATCCGATATGCGTGTGACAGTGAGGTAGCAGCGGCAGTGGGAAAGTAGAGAGGGTGAGGAGAAAAGGAAACAATATCCGCCCTCTGCAGCAGCGCCAGCAGCAAAAAGGGGAGTGGGTATTGGAGACCGACACTGTGAATATGGTGATGGCGTCAAGCCCCGGCCTGCAAAGAGAGAGGCAGAGAGGATCAGGAGGACGAGACTTCTTACCTTGAAAGAAAGGTCCCTGTAACCCTGGTGTCCCTTCCAATCCCCGCCTAAATCTTCCCACTTTCGGCTGTAGAAACTACCCAACCCCAATCCCCGTCCAATTGCTAGCATCAAGCAAGGACGAAAGGGAAGGGGGCAACCGTTTGTAAGAATATGGTGTGGAAAATGCTGTGCAGCGCACGCGCGCCTTGTGTGTTTCTCCAGCCTTCTAGCTCGAGGCCGTGGGCGTTTCTGGAGGATGGGGATTTTCTTTGACAATTTGGAGGAATGCTTCGAAATTGTTGGTGAAGAAACGACCGGGCCATCGGGGCTGAAGAGGCTGGAACTACCCGTACGCGGCTGGCCGTCCCCTCCGTTGATACCCCCTTTCTTTCTCTCTGGGCAGTATCCGTAGAGACCAGTCTCACTTGAGGGCTGGGTTTCTAGTTGCCGTGCCGTGCTCCCCTCTGTGGCGGACCAGGATGCAGAACATATTGCCTTCCCGTGTCTGGTTCGGCAGCTATGCTACATTCCAATATATTGTGCAGCGCTGCCGAGAAAGAAGGTGGTACGATCGATTGAAGGAAAAACGGGAGTAAGTCAAACGGAGCGAGGTTCGAACGACGGCGGCGCGAACATGGGGCCCGGACGTCGAGATGAAGTCTAATCTTGTTCGTGGACAAGGGGGGCAGTCGATTTGAAGGGCTGTTGATTGGACAATGATCCCTCTTTCTGGGGCCGTTGTTTTTCTTACCCCCTTGGCCCGTTCTGCCGTAAGGAAGCAAGGGTAGGGCGTGCGAACCTCAAAGGATGCGTTGCACCACAAACGCAAGTGCCGTTTCCCGGTGGTATCCGTATCCGTATCCGTAGTTGCGTGTTGGGAAAAAGTCATGATCCGTATGCGTAGACCTCATGTGGCAATGAACACCATTCAACTATTCAAGACAGAGGAAAAGCCATGGGAATTGCGGCTGACTGCAGTCGATCTCGAAGCATCTGATCTAAACACGAACGGCGCAGCTGTCGTCTGTTGTTTTTCCTGCAAAGGCTTTGACCTCTTTTTGCTGCATATGTAGCGGTTTACCCGTTGACCGGTATTTTGGCTCGCCAGTCAAGATTTTGATATGCTTATTTCCCGATATCAAGGCACAACAAGCGTGGCCCTTTGACTGGCCGCTGCTGTGTTCTTGGCTCGAGTTTTATCGGGTCCCGTCCCTTGTTGCCGTGTCCGTGTTGCGCTTTTGTGTTGCATTTTTCGCCGCTGGTCCAAACGCCGTAATTGTCTTTTGCGCGTCAGGATACATGACTATAAACAGCTTATCAGCCTATGCCATTTCATACTTCAATATATTGATGTTCTTTTATCGGGGCTGAATGGGGCGTACAGCCACTTTTCTTGCGATCTCGCCCTTTCCGACGTTCGTATCCAACGTCTTTTGCCCACTGGCGCTACATTGGCGCGTTTGCCTGATGCTATTCTCGTTCTTGTGTTCGGGGTATCCGCTGATGCACCTCGAACACGGAGCGTGGCGGGACGTTGAGGAGGCAAATATCGTAAAGTTGTCTCACATAGCCCAATGGCTACCTCCTCGCTGGCGACTGCATAGTATCTGCAGTAAGAGGAGCAATACGAGCTGCAGTAGTAGTTGGGGCGGCTGGCGTTGCATCGCGGAGGTTCTCTGCCGGCCAACGTACCACATCCCCCCACCGCGTCTGCCCCCGAAAGTCCGGCCGTCACCATCATGCCCGCAGCCCAACGGTCCAACCTCGATCCATAGATCGAAACGTTGATCTGAAGCCCAAGCCGATCAGAGTTGTTGACTAGTCCGCGGTTGGTCAAGCAACAACTGACGGCAGCTACCCCGGACCCGTCAAACAAGCTCTTTTCTACCTCTAGTAAAAGCCATCGGCGTCTTCGTCGCCCAGTGATTGCGCATGCTTCGGATCGAGGCATTTGAAGTATATAGATCAGCAGTGTGTTTTGCATGCTCCCCCATCACTTTTGGGTTGCAGTAGCGTCATCTTGACAAAAGAATATCTTATTCGGTCAGACAAAGTTGGCCCATTCAGAGAAACAGTACCTAACACCTTCAGACTAGAGTACTTGCAAAACGCACTCCTCATGTGCCAGATCGTTCATTATCATTAGTATGTTCCCCAAGGGTATCGATCATCACATGAAAGCGCTGCCACCAATGCCGTAATGCCAGAATGCCAGAAACATGCCTCCAAATCATCGTCGTGCCAACTGTCTCTTCATCTCTCCATTCTCTCTCCTTAGAGCTGCCAGCTGCTCCTCGAGTCCCTCCATCCTCTCCGCGGCCCCCATGCTCATCTCCTCGACCACTTTGACAAATCTGAAGAGACGGAACACAATGACGAGGGAAGCAATCTCTTCCACGATGCCGTGCGAGAGCACGTCGATAACAAAGCTTGCCACGATGACGATGCCATCGAGCAGATGAAACCACTCTGCAAAATACCTATTACGGTCTGAGTAAGTGATGGCTTCTGTACTGCGTGCTCTTGGGGGTTCATCTCACCTCCATCCAAATGCAATAACGCACAATACGAGTTCGATCAAGAACAGAGAGCTAAACACGAGGCCCGCAATGGTGAGACCTTCGCGCGTGTTCTTGACCCACGGCTCGTCTTCCCGCTTCATATCGCAGGCGACGAGCTCGACAAAGATGTTGGCCATGAGCGCGGCGACATCCAGTGATACGAGGGCCAGCACGGCATAGTGTTTCTTCCGAGATGCGAGCACATCTTGGAGGCTGGTCCGTGACTGGCTCAGCTGTCGCCTGATCGGCGCCGGCCGTCTGTTCTCGCGGAACCCGGAGAAGGACCACAGCAGAGGCCGGATCGACTCATCGTCGGACGCCATGGTTTCTGATTGAGAAAAAGGTCCCACCCATTCAGGATACGACAGGAAAGCAAGGGTCTTTGGCTGGCCGTGGTAATACGAAGTATACTGCGCAGCGAGCGCGCACAACGATCGCGATGTCGCAGCCTATCCGGGCAAGCAGATCCTTCCCCTTCGCGCGGTGAAGCGGGATGGAGCGCGGGCGAGGAAAAAGATAACAGAAACACAAAAACAAAATCCGGGGCCAAGGAGGATAGCCGGCAACCCGGCGATGCGGTGCTGACGCAGTGCACCTTCAGCGACGTCACACGTGGGCATTCGACGACAAGCGCACGAGGCGCGGGTGCCGCAATCCTGTACTTGGAGCTGCTGACTAAGACGCTGCACCACCTCATTTGGTATGGGACGACAACTTCCAAGAGCGTTTCAATACTGGGCTGGAGTGAGACGTACCAGATTCACCATGTGCGGGCATTCTGGTGCTTCCGCAATGATTTCGGACTCGGATCCGGGTGGATCACGGATGGATGAGCAATCCGGAGACTGGGGAGGTCCGGCGCCATGTTGCTGACGATTGAGATCGGCTTGGTAAATTGTGTCAGGACTCAAGGGGTCCCATCCGACATGTACCCAATGTTCTGCGCTGCTTGAATAGTATGTAAACAATGACTGTCCCCGCTATGACAGCACAGGTGGAAATTTCCAATGTAACATGGCCAGGGTTCGACGCGATACCTGCTTAGTCTTGAGACCATTGAATCAATCAAGCAAAAGCTATTGAAGTCAGTGCCAAAAATCGATTGAGGTCTTGCCCAGGTAAAGAGTTCACCGGGCGGTAAGGGTAATAAGGTAAAGATGAGGAAAGAGGGAAAGATTCACGGGTTGAATACGTTCCTTTGTTTCGCTGGTCGATCAAGAATCCATCGACGGGCAACACTCGCCAGAATGTCTCGTTTGCCAAAGTCATCCGCCGGATGTCCCAGACCATGACATCAAGAGTAGGCTGGAATGGAGCCTTCGGATGAGACCAGCGCGAGGTGTGCCTATGAGTAGAGTACCTCACGGATCAAATCTGTCTTGATTAGAACTGTCACCAAAAAGTATAAAAGGCTGGCCTTCATGTACGTGGAACTATCAATATCCGTATCTTACTCCAGAGGAAAGAATCTTGGAAGGTATCTACATGGCCAGCGGCGGGCACAGCTAGGTAGCTCCGGAATCCCGCTAGACAAGGTGCTTTCCCGGGTTGACCGGTCATGACTTTGCTCGCCCGTTGTACCTTCCTACGTCACCTTGGGCACTTTGAAGCAGAAACTAGAAGTTTGCCTTCATCTTTGAGTCTGCAACATCTGCAAAGCATTCCTCAATCGTTTGAAGGAACCGGGCATGCGTTTGTAGCTCCGAGTCTGTTGACGAAAGCTTGAGGTCGGAGCTCTTATCTCTTATCGGAGCGTCCGGCTAAACCGTGGATTTTCCCCCTACCCATTGGCATCAGAATTCCTGGATACCTTCACTACGTCTACCTCAATCTTCAGCTCCTGTCTCGTCCAGCCCTTGCGCAAGCTGCTGCATCAAATCAGCTCAGGATCTGAGCTTGTCAATTGCGGTCGTTACAGCTGTGAGTATTTCCCGCCCCAACTAAAACTCTTTGTGTGCGCGAACAGCTTTGAGCGAGCGGACCCCTCCCGAGGCTGCGGTCGCCTTAAAAAAGGGCGCGTCTGCCTTGTCGCACCATTTCTCCCTTCTCTCTTCTAGCATCGATAGCTAATAGCCTATCCTATCCAGAGCCGTCACAAAATCAACAACGACTGCCCAATCTTATAGCCATGGCGGACGTCAAGCCCGAGGATACCCCTGTGGAGGACCACAACGTCGAGAACAACAGCGTCGGCGAGGAAGATGGCCACGATGAGGTGCGCAAAGAGCCTAGATTCATCACTGGCTTTCGCAGATAAGAGGAGGTTAAACTGACAGAAGACCGTAGGAGGAGATCTCTGCGATGAAGAGGCGGGTAGCCGAGATGGAAGAGGAGGCCGCCAAGTTGCGCGAAATGCAAGCCAGCCTCGACCAACAGAGCCGGGAACTTTCAGAGAACAAGGAGGATATCGACAGCCGCAGTATCTTTGTCGGCAACGTCGACTACTCTGCCTCGCCCGAGGAGATTCAAGCTCACTTCCAGAGCTGTGGCTCTATCAACCGCGTCACCATTTTGTTGGACAAGTTCACTGGACAGCCCAAGGGGTACGTTACGGAAGCCCACCCGAGAAACGCGCCCGAAAAATGGCTCAGAGACTAACATGCGCTTTGCACTACAGATATGCCTACGTCGAGTTCACCGAGCCCAGCCTCGTTGCCCAGGCCCTGGTCCTCAACGAGAGCGTCTTCAAGGGCCGCAACCTCAAGGTCGTCCCCAAGCGCACCAATATCCCCGGCATGTCTCGTGGCCGCGGTCGTGGCGGCGGGAGAGGAGGTCGCGGCGGCTTTGGCGGCCGTGGCGGTTTCCCGCCTCGCGGTGGCTACCGTGGAGGCTACCGCGGCCGGGGCAGAGGAGGATACACCCCTTATTAGGCATTAGGCAGAGTGACGCCTCCCGAGGACTCGCTTATGTCTAGTAGCCCGGATGAGAGGGTGCGACGCGATTCATTGCTTCGATTGTAACATACAGGACGGTAGGGAAAGGAGAAAGATTCGATATGGCGTTCAGGGATTGGTCAGGCTTTTACATTCAGTCGACGAGTATTTCAATTTCGATGGATGAATCACCGCATCTCAGAGTACAATTTTGGACAAAGAGTAACACCCGTGGAATGACAGTTTGTAGATTGATGCGTGATTTGGTTGTTACAGGCAGCGGTGGCCGAATGTGATGAACAGGAGTATGACGCCAACCAAGAGACTCATTGCGATCTGGGCCAGCAGATATCACATGCTGGGCCGGACTTCGTGAAAAGGCACATCTATCCACCGCAGTTAAATCGGAACCGGGTGTTGGGACGCTGTGATGTATCAGTAAGGAGAGAGATGTGTCTGTGTAGATACATGGACTACGCTGCTGTAGAGGTAGAGACGTACGTTCCTGTTCTTCGACTTCTTTGGGTCGAAATTGCTCCAGGTTCTGGTTCTTGATTCGAGAAATCCTGACAATGTCTTTCCTTCATTAAGTCTGCAGAGGTGGGTTTATCATCGTACATCTGTGGGAATTAAAAAAAAACCGAAATCCTTTCTGAAATTATCACAGGTGCTAAGGAACGCTCTCCCCCCCCAGATAGCTCTTCGCATAACATTCAAGTGAACTACGAAACGTACCTGTCTCTTTGAGTTTATCCTAGCATGTTCTAACCACTTAATATAGCTTCTGCTGGGAAAGGCCCGGAATGAGATGACGCCTTTGCCAACAGTCGCTCTACAATGTTTCTTTGAAACCCAAAGGCCGAGCAACCGGCATTCAATTGAACATGAATATGTGTAGGATCACGATTTCTAAATTCTCCTGTATAGGAGGAGAAACCTATACGTCATGAATACCGACTGCCAAGTGACAAGTCATGTGAAAACCATGGAGCCGGGACATCAACAAGACGAGACGGGCGGACAAGCCTAGTGGTGCCGTCCTTCCGCAGGTGACCCACGACGCCGCCCGACCCGGGCGCACAGTTGCCCGCCTCAGGACGGGCTCCTAAGCATCCATCCCTCCCTCCCGCGCGAGCTGACACACGGAAGTGGCTGTCCCCAGTGGGTTTCGAGGGGGCCTCAATCGAACATTGGGAATTAACCTGTCCATGAAGACGCACGCAAGACTGCCCTGGAAGAGGAAGGGCAAGAGGGTGTTCTCCCCGCACAAAAGATTGGTTGTGGGAATCAGCAGAAAGCGAAGCGTCTCTGCGGCACGTGCTTGCTGGACTCTGTCGGTTGCGATGCCGTGAGATCCCTTCTCTACCTCTCTCTCTGCCCAGTATAGTCCCCCATGGTCCCGCGGCAGCGATTGGATTGCAAGGTCCCCCCTCCCCTTGTTTTTGTCCTTTCCCAAAGGAAAAGAATTGGGACATAGGCGGGAGGTGATTGGATGGGAACTTTTGGGCAGACGACTGTGTTTGGGCTGGTCTCTTGTTTATTTATGGTATACCCTATGCCGCTTCTTGTTCACTGTGCTTTCGCGCCGAAGCAAAAAGAAGGGATGTGGATGGATGTGACGGTTGGACCGTCGGGAGGGATGAGGGGGGGAACGGACTGGACGTGCCGGAGCACCAAAGAATATGCCCCCTCCAGCTTGAGGCAATCCTCGGAAAGCCAGCATTAGGGAAGATGGCGCGGATGAATTGAGCTATTATGCTTGAGAGGATCTTGAATGAGTAGGTTACTGTATGATGGAGAGACACAGGCAAGAAGCGAGAGATAGAGATAGAGAGACGGAAGACACAGAGAGGTGAGAAAGAGAGGGTGGCCGTAGCGCATGAGGTTCGGGGAGCCGGGGGTTGGTGGTGGGATGGGACGAGCAACAATGCGCCGTTTCTGCTTTCTCGCGTCCCGGTAGGTTCGTGCTTCTAGCGAGAGACTCTCGAGAAAAGTTCCTTTCGAGAGCAGACAATGAGAAATACAGATTACGAATTCAAACATCCTCCTATCCGCGGGAAAACTCGAAGGCGAAGAAACAAGAGCAGAAACTTCTTGTTGATGATACTGATTTCAAAATCGCCACGAGAGATTATGTAAAGAGTGGCACCTGCTCATACAATCGCTTGGTCAGGTTCTAGACTCTCTGTCTGCTGTGTCTGGCAGTGTCTACGGCCCGAACTGAGGGGCCTCCCAAGCCTTTCGGGCACCCCTTCCCTCCCTCCCTCAGTTCCAACTGTTAGCACGGCGGCGCGGGTCAGGGTACAGGTGAGGTCGGCAGGGATCCGTACCGAGCGGCAGGTTGTTAGGTCGTTCTCTCGACTCTCTCGAGCCCCCAGCTTGACGGGACTCGACTGGGCAAAGTACGGGGCAAGGGTGAAAAGACTTGGCCATGCCAGTCAGTCAGGGCACCGCAGCACCGCAGGTACAGGCAAAAGGCAGGTAGGGGGCGCGTGGGATTGGCAGCTTTCTGACGGCCATGGGCATCCGAAACACCATTGGGAACAGCGTTTAGAAGTTTAGGAAAAAGCTGGAGGCCCTGTCACTCGGTTCTGGTTTGTTTTGATTTCCACTTCTTCTCTCTGCGTTGCCATTCGTTGTTCTTGGCGAGGTACTTGCAAGAGAGTTAAGGTGAGGTACTTGCTTCACATCCATATTCCAGTCCCGAACTGTAGCTCAAGCTGGATGCTGTATATACCTGGTAAGAAGACAGGATAGAAGAGTGGCGACATGAGACAATGTATGATATACGGACAGATGGAGAACGCAGTCACTATACCGACGATACATGTCTCATGAAGGAGATAGAGCTGTTCGCAACTTCCAGATGTCATGGCAAAGCTGCTGTGGTAAGCAAGATAAGTCGAGAGATGGAGCGCTTAACTAAGGTATGTCCATCGTCAATCAGTCTGGGCTGAGACGTCATGTACACTTGTATCTCTCATTCATCTGTCGTTTCGTTTTGCCAGACAGCCCTCCTGTCAGAATCTGCTGACACATCTTCCCAAGAAAATGCCATGGCATCGCCAAAGCCATGGGATGTCTACGACTTATTGAAGCGCAATCGACTTCTTATGAGATGCAGTTGATCTTGGTGAGGTTCATGGGTGAAGAATACTTACACTTCTCTCGAGGTGCTCACCAGGAGTGAGTTAAGGTGGGTCTCGAATTGTGGATCCGACCCGACCACCGCCGAGAGGTATTGCCCGCTTTCCGTGGTACCCCACAGTGACCTCTGGGCCCCGCCAAGTGCTAACAAGTGGGATTCGCCATCCGCACTTCCAGGTTCCTTGGCTCTCCATGTCGAACCGAGCTGGGAATCGCCCAGGACACTCACCTCATCCTATGCTCACCATCAGTATCTGACCTTACCAGCCACGCCAGCTTACCTTAAGGTACCTATTGACCTGCCTTACCTACGGATACAGTGGACATCACTGCCCTGCCACTACAGCTGCGTCGCTGTTAGCGCTGCTGCAGGTGCCGTAATCACTGCTCCCGTCTGCCACCCTGCTGAGGTCATCAAGGGTGAAAGCTGATGGAAGCACAGGCTCATCGCACGCCGCACGCCGCATACTAGAGCACCTCTCAGAGTCAGATAGCGCTGAACCTGACACTTCCTCCTACCCACCGCATACCTCACCTCCCGCATCACGCCTAACAACCTTCTTTCCTCTGCTGCGAACTTCCGACCGGAGACAAAATCCACTCGCACACACGTACTCCGTACCGTTTGACAAGCGCTCAGACGGGGGCGACTGGCTGACTTACCTTGCCAAAACACCAAATTCGCTCCATCCTGTCTCTTCCATCTTCAACCTTCAAACTCCCTCCCATCGAATCCCACCGGTCGACCTTTTGTCGCCCTCCGGAGATAGATTGATACAGAGACGGCCAACAAAGTCTACTGCATCGCTGGTTCGATTCGATCTCGCCAGTATCCTTACTGTTCCTCCGCTGCTTTCTTAGCCTCGCTCGGTCTTCCCGCCCGCCGCGTCACCTTATCATCCGCCGCACCCCCGAAGGGAACTCCAAGGCCCCCAAAAACCCAGCCCACTTGGCTCGTTGAAGCGGGGGGCTTTTCTGCACTGCACAGCACTGCACAGCCTCAGCTCTGCCTTTCGCCGTCGTCCTTGTCGTCGTCGTCGTCAACGCCAATCCGCACTACGCTACCTCTCACCAGCAAAAGCATCCTTTGCTGTATTCCGGTCCCGATTGTCGTCGACAATCTTTTCCGCCATATCGCCGCGACCGGTCACTTTCCAAACGTCATCCACGAAACGTCCGCCTAACCCCTCATCTGTTCCAAGAACGAACGACCTTGATCTGAGCACGCCAGATATTTTGGGAGTCGACACCGTTGTCGCTGGCTATCCCGCGACGAAATGAGTTCCTCCCGCAATGATGCCGGGCAGCCCAAGTAAGTAACGCATCTGGTCTCTTTCCATCAGTCCGTGGACGCTGCCATCTGGACGTCACCAACACTGAACAAATCACGGGAGCTAACTCTGCTGTCTGTAGCCGCAAGCCCAACCTCCGAGTAACTAGTTCGTCGTCCCCAAGTTGATCCTCCGCGCAACGACCATCAATACTAACTTCAACGCAGTCATCGCCGCCGATGGCTTGTACAAGCGAGATGTCTTCCGTACGCCCTCACCCTCTTCCGTTTCGTTGGAACAAACCATTAACATGAAAAACAGGGTTTCCGGATCCCTTCGCCGTCATCACCGTCAACGGAGACCAGACCAAGACTACGAGTGCACAGAAACGAACTTTGAACCCATACTGGAACGAGAGCTTCGACCTGTATGTTGTAGTCCTCAAAATGTTCATCGCGGCGAAAAGCTCCCTCTGACATCATTTAGCAACGTGAACGAAGACACCATTCTCGCGGTTCAGGTATTTGACCAGAAGAAGTTCAAGAAGAAGGACCAAGGTTTCCTTGGCGTAATCAACGTTAGGATTGGCGATGTGATTGAGCTGGCACCGGACGCTGATGGTAACACTCTTTTGCCGCATTCCTGCTCGCGTTGTCGCCAGACTTGACTGACAAATGCGGCGCCCCACAGATCAAATGCTCACGCGAGACCTCAAGAAGTCGACCGATAACTTAGTTGTGCACGGCAAGCTGATCGTAAACCTGTCAACAAACCTCACCACACCCGCGCGGGCCGGGCAAGCATCATCAAGCCGTCCCTCACTCGTCCCGCCTGCCCAAGGGTCCAGCCTTTCGACGCTCTCGGCCCCGGCGGCTGACGCTAGACCGGGCTCGGCCATGGGTGTTCCGAATGGCGGCCCAGCTCCTGGTTCTCAAGTAAACCTGCCGCACCGACCTGCGAGTATGACTTCCACCGGTCCCCCTCCGGCCGCCAATGGTGGCCCGCCTCCGGCACGCAACTCTAGCACACTGAGCCCCTTCGAGGATGCGCAAGGGCGCTTGCCGGCCGGCTGGGAACGCCGAGAGGATAACCTTGGCCGCACATATTATGTTGATCACAACACCAGAACCACGAGTTGGAACAGACCGACCGTTGCGGGGGCTGTGGAACAGAGGAACGATCGTGAAGCCGCAACTCAAGTAGAGCGCCAGAGACACCAGAACCGAACCCTCCCCGAGGATCGAACCGGCGCGAGCTCCCCGACTTTGCAAGCTCAGCAAGCAGCCGCTCAAAGCGCAAACAACGCTACGATGATGCACACTGGAGCAACGAGCCCGGGCACTGGCGAGCTGCCGCCTGGTTGGGAACAGAGATGGACTCCAGAAGGTCGCCCGTACTTCGTGGACCACAACACTCGTACGACTACCTGGGTTGACCCCCGCCGCCAGCAGTACATCCGTATGTATGGAGGCCAGAATGCCCAGAACGGCACCATCCAGCAACAACCCGTCTCTCAATTGGGACCTCTGCCAAGTGGTTGGGAGATGCGTCTCACGAACACTGCTCGAGTGTATTTCGTGGACCACAACACAAAGACAACAACGTGGGACGACCCTCGTTTGCCGTCATCCCTGGATCAGAACGTACCGCAGTACAAGCGCGACTTCAGAAGGAAACTCATTTACTTCCGCTCGCAACCTGCGATGCGCATCCTTTCCGGACAGTGCCACATCAAGGTGCGACGGTCTCATATCTTTGAGGACTCCTTTGCAGAAATCACTCGGCAGTCTGCTACTGATTTGAAGAAGCGTCTCATGATCAAATTCGATGGTGAGGATGGTTTGGATTATGGTGGTCTGTCCAGAGAATTCTTCTTCCTTCTCTCCCACGAGATGTTCAACCCGTTCTACTGCCTGTTCGAGTACTCCGCCCACGACAACTACACCCTTCAAATCAACCCCCACTCCGGTATCAACCCCGAGCATCTGAACTACTTCAAGTTCATTGGTCGTGTTGTTGGTCTGGCGATTTTCCACCGTCGTTTCCTCGATGCCTTCTTCATTGGAGCCCTGTACAAGATGATCCTGGGCAAGTCGGTCGTTCTAGCCGACATGGAAGGTGTGGATGCCGACTTCCATCGCTCTCTGCAGTGGATGCTTGACAACGACATTTCTGGAGGAATTCTGGAACAGACATTCTCCACTGAGGACGAGCGCTTCGGCGTTATGACCGTGGAGGACCTCATTCCCGGTGGTCGCGACATCGACGTCACGAACGAGAACAAGAAGGAGTACGTTGATCTCATGGTGAAGTGGAGAATCGAGAAACGTATTGCGGAGCAATTCCAAGCCTTCAAGGATGGCTTCCACGAGCTCATCCCTCAGGACTTGGTCAACGTTTTCGATGAACGTGAGCTTGAGTTGCTCATTGGTGGTATTGCTGAGATTGATGTGGATGATTGGAAGAAGCACACCGATTACCGCGGATACACAGAGTCGGACGAGGTCATTCAGTTCTTCTGGCAGACGATTCGTTCATGGGATGGAGAGCAGAAGTCGCGTCTACTTCAATTCGCGACGGGTACATCGCGTATCCCGGTCAACGGTTTCAAGGATTTGCAAGGAAGTGACGGTCCCAGAAGATTTACAATCGAAAAGGCTGGAGAGATTAACAATCTTCCCAAGGCGCACACATGGTAAGATACTCTCACCCGCTGCATGCTAAAGTTCAACCGCTAACCTTGTTCTAGTTTCAACCGACTGGACCTGCCGCCATACAAGAGTCTGGAAATGCTCCAGCAGAAGCTTACAATTGCCGTTGAAGAGACTATGGGCTTCGGTCAAGAATAGATGCCTCATACGTCCGATGGGGCTCATGTCTTTGCGTATGCGTTTAAGCATGCGCAAAAAGGACGATGAAAGCACGAGCCTTCGCCACGTAGTGGCTGGATCTTCACCGCCGTATGTGAGGAGAGCATGCGCGAAGCACATTGCATCCAGTACACGTTGGGGTGGGCTCGGTTCGAAGCTACTGCTAGTATGATTTCACAGCATCAAATTCATTCGGATGTTCGGCGTGCGGTAGGGATACTTGGAATAAACCTCTGATTCTTCTTCTTTCTATATGCGGCGGGGTAGTGGAAAGTGATGACGAGACGAAGCGACTCGAGTCGAAATGTGGCAAAGTACGAGCAGAGTTGTCGAAGGGGAAACTGTGTTGTACCAAAAAGCTCCTTGGGTGTGGCAAATTTGCATCGATAACCTTAGATGTCTGCGAAGTGAGTCCGCAGCAAGGAGGGACTTAATTTACCGCCTCGGGGAGGAGAGGAAGAGAGAGAGAGAGAAAGAGAGAGATGCTCGAACGACCAGGGCCTTCCGAGGGCAAGAGACAGGAAAGCTAAGCAAAGGGATGACGGGCGCATTTGATTATTCTCGGGCATCACAACTCCAGTGCGATATCCGCATCAGATATATAGTTTATATACATACATACCTCATCTGAGAGTGCCACTGCGCGTGTCTGTGTCTCTCTTTCTCTGCTAAGCTCTGGACTGATAAAGAGTGTCTACTTTGGCCTGAGTATAGGTGTGGAAGAACAGACGTGAGGCAACCTTCAGAAGAGAGCAAAAAGAAAGTATTGATGACGGCCAACGTCGCAGAGCCATGAACCTCGGTAACGCGATGGCTGTCGATGAGCCGACTTTGCGTCCTATTCTTATCTGAATCTGAAGCCTCCCCTCTGGCATCAATACACACCAAGGTGGGATCGTCTCACGACACGGGGCTGCGAGATCAGTTAAACATGGTTTTGAAATGATGGCAGAACTTGTAATCTACACGACCGCGATCGTTTGCGGATGAAAACCTCCGCATATGTACATAGCCACGCCCACGCACGCAACCGCATACAAAAGAAAACATGAAGCCCAAGTCTTGCCGTTATGAAAGAGCCCCGACGTGCCTGGTGTGCCTCAATCTCTTCTTTCCGGGCCTCGGCATTTTCCTCCTCTACTGGACCGCCAGTTGCCTCTCTTTTACTGGATGTGCGGTCCAACAAAAAAGTACCGCCCACCTTTGGCCACGCCGTCTCGATATTCTCTCCGACTCGTTTTCAATCCGTGATCCGTTCTCCGTCCTCTCGTTTTCCCCGACTCTCCCAAACGCAGAGAAGTTTTGCAACGAGGCAGCGAATCTACTTGCGGTACCACATGCGGGTGATCTTGGTGTTGCGCATCTTGCGCTGAAGCTGGAAGATGCCGTACATGAGGGCCTCGGAGGTCGGGGGGCAGCCGGGGACATAGACGTCGACGGGGACGACGCGGTCGCAGCCACGGACGACGGAGTACGAGTAGTGGTAGTAGCCGCCGCCGTTGGCGCAGGAGCCCATGGAGATGACCCAGCGGGGCTCGGGCATCTGGTCGTAGACTTGGCGCAGGGCGGGGGCCATCTTGTTGGTGAGGGTGCCGGCGACGATCATCACGTCGGACTGGCGGGGGGAGGCACGGAAAATGATTCCGAGACGATCCTGATCGTAGCGGGGGGTGGAGAGGTGCATCATCTCGACGGCGCAGCAGGCGAGACCGAAGGTCATGGGCCAGAGGGAGGACTGACGAGCCCAGTTCGTTATTACGTCGAGGGAGGTGCTGTGAGACGGGTTGCTTGATTAGTGTCTATTGCCATTGGGAGAAGAGCTCCTTTTGATCGATATCGGGCGTGGTTTTATGATGAGGAGGGACAGGGCGGACACAGGGGGCCGTACAGAGCATATTGCAAAACACCCTTGGTGCCCTCCTGGCTAACCAGGGGCACTTCCTTGCGCTCCTTCTTGATGAGGCCGGTCGAGTGCGCAGCGGCGGGGCTGGCGTCCTTTCGTGACGAGGAGGAGATCGAGGCGGCGGCGATTCTGAAGGGGGTGATGGACGCGGTGGGCTTCGCTATAGTGGCCAATTGAGGTCAGTCAAATGTTTCGGCTTTCTCTTTCCTCCCCATTGCGAAAAGAGCTCCAGTTGAGACCGCGAGACACATCCATTGTCTCCTCGGCGATTGATGACAGGGTCTCGTGGGATATCGTCCGGGTAGCCGCGCAATTGGATAGCCCGCGAAGGGAGATTGGTGGTGTGGTGATTGCGGTCCCGGTTCCTCGGTAGACCGGAGACGACGACGACTCGGGGGAGAGCTTACCTCGCAGGGCCAATGAGGCCGCTGTCCTCGTGGAGGAAAGCATCTTGGTGATCCGAGTTGGTTCGATTCCTCTTCGGGAGAAACTGAGTTGGTGAGGAGTGGAGAGGGTTTATCGCGGGGAGGGGCGGCCGGCGGAGGACGACTTTCAAAGGCAGACGGTCGGGGGGGCTCTCTTTTCGGGAAAGATGGTTGACGTTGTCGACGAGCGTTGATGGTTTTCGCCTCTTTTCTCGCTAATTGCATTAGCGGCGTTTTGATTGGCTGGCCGGCTGCCGGGATGGTCCGGGTGTTTGGACGTGCCTTATGTAAGCGCGTGGGGGAGCACACATATGCCCGTCATCAAAGCGGAACATCCATCATGAGTACAGTCGTCTGGTGTACCAGGTAGTCTTTCACTACCGGAAGCAAATAATTAGGAGTGTTTGCCACATGACTACCCAATTCTAAGAATTTTCAGGTGGTTTTGCTGTGGTTTTGCTGTGGTGCAGTCGCGCAGAAATCCATGCTCCCTTGGGCAGTACTAGGTTGGTAGTCAGCAGGTGAAGACTGCCCTCCATGATATCGAGTAGTCAGTTGCCCTCTAAGTGTGATTGGTGAGAGTGGCTGTCGAGGTCGTGCAATTTTGAGCTGATATCATACATCTGATGGCTCTGCTCGACTAATTATCCTATGTCTCTGCCGTTCCCCTTCTCATTGGCTAGCAAAGGCTACAACACGTAGGAACGGACCAAGGCAGAGGTCGGCTCTGGGCACTATGATCAGAGCCATACAGACACAAGGGATTCACCCCGCCATTGTTCCCTTCAAAGACTAGCATCGTGTGTCGTGCTTCAGTGCCTTAGCTGTCCATGGTTCAATTCTGTTTCGCCATTCACGTTGCAGATCAGACACTGTCAGCCAAGCAAAGAGTAAAGCGCAGGCAAAGTGAAATGGGGTAGAACTTCAAAAGCAGTATATTTCCTCAGGTCATCTCTCGTGACTTCCACAAGGGCAAAACACCCAGAGCAGTCTTAGCGCCCTCCCTCCCAGATCCAAGATGTAAGAATCTGTCGACATGCGTCTCGCCAAGAGGGAAACTCTGCCGCCCATCCACCGATACCCATAACCGCTAGAACTGAATCACACTATAATTGTAGAAAAAGGCAACAAGATTCCAATCCCACAAGAACAATAACCGGACAAGTCGCGTCCAGTCTCCTGAACGAAGGCCACCGCTCTAGCAAGAAATCTGCCGAACCAGTCCAAGGGGCCTGTGTTCTCCGGAAACCAGAGGCGATGTTGGCCATCGTCATGAGCATCTCACTCGCAAATTTGAAAAAGGTATCAGCCAAAAGAGCCACGTATGACGCCGATGGAACGCCCAGAACGCCGCCATTGAGTGACGAGAAAGAAAGAAGCAAAGCGCCTGATTTAGCGCAATGCGAGGGTTCAAACAGTACGATTGCGAAGCTTCCGTGTATTTCCTCCCCTCGTGCGCCGCGGACTGCTGGAAGGAGTCCCATGTGCTCGAGGAGCTCGAGAAAGTGTCGTGTTCCGAGCAGATGGCTCCTATTTCTTCAGCACGGCGTCGTAGAGGCTTACAAGCCCGGTGATGGCAGCCCCAGTCAAGATGCCCTTCCACTCTCCATACAGAGCACCATTGATGCGGTCGATCGAGTTTTCGTTGATCCAGCCGCCAAAGTTGACCTTTTGGGCGTAAACAACGAACGAGATCAGAGCCTTGACGATGCTGAAGACCAAGGGGTCGACGTTGTACTCAACGGTCGACGACTTGCGGCCGCGAGGCTGGGGATGGCTCGCCGCGCTCAGATTGTAGAAGTACCCAAATAAGGAGGGAATAAGGACAGAAGTGAGGGTCCAAAGCGTGACAGGCGACCAGAAGGACGAGGTCACGAACAAGAACGCGTCAGGTACGTAAACGGGGTAGAAGCTGGTGCCCAGGGCCGGGATCGCGGGGATGGTGAAGGCGTAGCGGAGGGGCAAGACCTCTGCTCTCAAGTTCCACGCCTCGAACGCGGCCACGGTGAACAGCACCGACGTGACGGTTGACAGGGAGGAGCGCACAGCTTGGGTGCCCTCCTGGATGCCAGACTGGTCGTAGAGTTCCGTCGCGCGCTCGCGCAGAGCGACAGTGTGACGGTCGACGGCCTCAGCAACATCAGCGGGCGTCGCGGGCAGAGGAATGCGGCTCGCAAGAGAGAGGTTGCGGGCGGGAGTTCGCGTCGCCAGTGCGGTGGAGAAGGCAGGCTCCGGGCTTGAGGATTCGGCTCTTCTGTGACGCGTGTTAGTCGCGATTCAGGGATCTAGATGACCTCTGAGGCGCATCGCGTAGAGGAGTGGCAGGTATGGCTTACTCTGGCTCGGGCTCGGGCTGGAGCTCCTCGATGGCTCTCGTCGCCCTGCGGCGCGTGGACTTGACGAGATCGGTCAAGGGAGCCTCCCTCTTGACGGGTGAGCCGGCAGCCTTGGAGCGACTGGTGTAGTAGCCTGCAAGCTTGGGGTTTTGGGAGAACTGGATCGTGTTCTCGGCGAGGTATTCATCGAGGGTGACTTCCAAGTCGGCCTTTTTCTGATTCTCGTACCTGAAAGCAGCGCGTTATTAGCTTTTTTTGCGTGGTCTGAATAGCATCGTGGGCCTCTCTGCGACAGCTCGACGCGCTTCAATCAGCTTTGACGTCAGTCGCAACCGACGCGACAGCAGCGCACCCATAGCTCGAATCTGACTTGCAGAGCGACAAGAAAGCCGTCACAGCTGCAGAAAGTCGTCGCGTCCGTAGAAAAAAAGAGGAAAATGCTCACCCAGTAAGTCCGGTCAGCTCGGCAATCTCGACGAGGTCGCTCTTCCGCTGCCTCGCCAACCACGAGTTTGCGCCCGACATTGTTTAGTGATTGAAATGGGGTTAAAGTTAATCAAAAGGGGTATCAGATGAATCGCGCAGACTTGGCGACTCTAGGGAATCGATTGCAATTATGCCTTTGTAGAAGAATTGCAGTGAATGCAGGGCAGATTGTCCTTTAGTAGTGGTAGTGGAAAGTACTTTGAAAGGGTGACGATTTTGGAGGGGCAGTTGGATGGATGCGGTGGTGATAACGGCAACGATAGCTGGGCTGAAGAGCTAGGTTGTAACTTGTAAGGGTCGTGTCGGGTGCTGCTGAGGTCGGGTGTGATTAACGTGTGGATTATGGGGGGGGTTCGACGGGGTAAAATGGTCGAAGCGCTCGTTGTTTACCTTCCTCGGCCCCCTTGTTGTGGTCCTATGGGAAGTGACGCAACGGGACTCCCATCGCTGTTAGGTGAATGCTACCATGGGTCGTGACTGCCTGCTCCAGCTGCCATCGCTACATACAGCAGGCAATCGAGGTGCGCTGATACTATCTGATCTGGGGAAAAGGGGGGGGGGGGATGTGCCAGTGTGGACGTCCAGTAGACATTGCGACTGGTTTAGCGCGCTTTCCGCCCTCTGCCTCCTCTCCCGGGAGCGGCAAAAGCACAGAAGGTGGGCTCCCGTCGCAGAAGACACGGCGTGACGGTGCTGACTGCTATTAAGGTGAGTGGACGGCTGTGACCAATCAGACCCACCTGAGCTGTCCGAAAAAGGCAAGGTATGTAAACAAACGGTTTAGTCGCTGGCCTCTGCGCGCGACTGCCCGGTGATCTCCCGCTGATAAAGAAGACGCCAAATAAACGAAGGTCAAGCAAGTACACTGTTCATCGATGATGTGAGGATACTCACGAGAACACGTGGCTTCCTTTTCTCTCCCACTCCGCTGCCGTGCATTCGATATACCGAACGCGAAGTTGTCAACACCTTGAAGCCCCTCGCGATCAACATGAGCTGCCGGGACAACCGCAACATCTCAGCCAATCAGTCACCTCATCACCATCTTACGCAAGATCAACTCGATGGCCTGCTGATGGGTTGAATTTCTCAGATTAATTGCCATCTTAGCCTCAATTTCATGCATATGTAATTCCTACCCATCTCTCCGCCTTGTCCCTTCCCGGGTATTCCCATATATCCATTCTAGAGCAACCACTATACAGCTTTGAAGATACAATTTCACTAGCCAGGCCTAGGCAAGCCAGCTACTGATTTCACCTACTCTAAGCAGAGTCAACAATATCGACAAACCTTTCCTGTCCTCTCGGCACAATCCGGATAGGCACAGTCATCCCCTGCGGTAACTTGAGCGTCAACATCGTCGACGCCTTCTTCACAGTCTCCCGGCACTTATCCTGCGCCTTCTTGTACAGCGTCCGCCTCTTCTCCGGACCCATGGCCTCCACCTCGGCATCCGAGGCCCACTCGTCCACCGCCAGCTCAAGACTGTGCCGCTGAAATACCACCGACAGGGCGGCAATAATTTCAACCTGTGCGATACGCCGCCCCAGACACGACCGCGGCCCGTCCGAGAAGGGTACGTAGGACCCCCGCACCGGCCGGAACATCTTCTCGCTCGTGTCCGAGCCCCTGTACCCGCCGTAGTCCTCCTCCGCCTCGCCGCCGGTCTTGGCATCTGCCGCCGTCTTCGAGCTGGCCCTGTACCACCGCTCCGGTGCGTAGTCATCCAGGTCGTGATCCGCCCCCGAAATCTTGCTCGGTTTCGACGGCCAATTACGCGGGTTCCGGTGCGCCGCCACGCCCACGATGGAGATATCTGCCCCCTTTGGCAAAACGTACTTCTCTCCGTCCAGCGTAATGATGCCATCGCCTTCCGGGCTGACCTTCTTGGGGATCTCCACCACCGCCGGCGTCATCCGCAGCGTCTCGTTCATGCAGGCGCCCAGCATGGACGCCAACATCGGGTTGACCGTGTTCTCGTAGTTCCACGTGCTCGGATCGTTATCGCCAAAGATGCCGTCTATATCCTTCTGGAGCTGGCGTTGCACAGCCGGGTTGCAGGCAATCTCAATCAGACCAAAGTGCATCGCGTTCGCCGTCGTCTCGTGTCCCGCAACTAACATGATGAAGGCGTTGCCCGAGATTTCCGATCTGGACAGCTGAGGGATCTTGGACTCCTTTCCCTTTGATAGCGTTCCGTTAATAGCCCCATTGGCATCCGCTCCGTCCCCGTATTTTGATCTAACAAGCTGGCCCATGAGGTCCATGCCGGCGTCGCCGTGGTCGCCGTTCTGCAGATCCTCAATCTTGTCCTGCATCAGCTCGTCGATGTATTGAACATAGTTGTCGTGCGAGTCAACGGCCTGTTTTGTGTACTTGAAAGGCAGCAGCTTCAAAATCTTGTGCGGTACCAGTAACAGAACCAAGATATGTTCCAGCATCTCGGCAATGGCATCGGCAAAGCTCATCGTGTGTCCCGGGGCCGCCTCGAGCGAGCTGTATTTTGTAAGCTTCGGGTCTGCTCCATCGGGCAGTGACTGTCCCGGCCAGAGCAGGCGCATTCCGAATCCCACGTAGCTGATAATGTTGAGAGCGAGCCGCATCGTATCGTGATCCAGCGTCTGAATAGTCTCCTTGCTCTTTTCCCCCGCTGGGCCTAGCCACTTGCGCGTCATGCTCTGCGCCTGCTTGATCGATTCGGCAAAGACGAGAGAGGCGTTCTTCTCGTTAAAGGTCGCGGATGTGACCTTGCGGTGCATGCGCCAGACCGCACCCTCGGTGGTCAGGACATTGTCGCCAAACTGCTTCAAGATGGCGTACGTCTCAACAAGCTTTGGGAACTTTTCGCGTTGCTGTGTGATCTGGTGGATGGCTTCGGCGCTGTCGGTCAGGACGAGGATCTGAAAGGCCGACACGATCATAAAGGTCTCGCCAATGCGTTCAAAAGGCTTGTGAAGTAGATTATAGGACCAGTTCGGTATGAGGAGTCTATTTGCAAGGCATTGGGATCAGCAGGGGCGCCGCAATGGACGGAGCAGTCCAGTCAAGTAACTAACTCGAGCCAGTTTTCCCACCACGATTTCGGAAAACACTTGATGATGGGTATCCAGAACTTGTGGGTGAGCTGCCATATTATTGAAAAGGGCGATGCGGCTTTCTCATGGTCAGTTTCTCACACCAAAGAAACATTGTGGACACCTTGAACACGTACGGGTGACGATATATGGCAAGCCAACTTTCTTTGCTTCTGCTATATTGCGTTGCAGGCCGGAGACGTAGGCATACACGCCATAGGCGACCACAGCTCCAACGAGCACAAAGACTGACGATACCATGTTGGTGCCAAGTGCTCTGGGAGCTTGAATTGGCGAAATGTCACCCAGGGGCACACGGCAGCACGAGGATATCCCAAGTGAAGCCTGGTGATGACAATAGCTTATCGCCCGTTGGATACAATGAGGTCAATGGGAGGAGGGGTCCGAGACCAGTCGAAGCCCCGGGTTGGTTTGATAATCTCGAGACCTTGTATATCAAATCCGGGGGAGGAGTTTGATGCCTGCACAGCAATAATAGAAAGCTATAAGACGTAGTGAGTTAAGACAGTCCCTGGACGACAAGAAGAAAAAGAGAAGGAATGCAGAACAAAAAGGAAGAATTGTCACACATCTGCCATGGAAGAAACAAAAGAAGGACCGGAAACGTCGATGGGGTCGGGGGTCCCATCTGGGAAGCCCCAAGGTGCAGGTAGGGGTCGAAGCTCTGGTTTCGGGTCTTGCGTCTCCGAAACTAGCAAATACCCCCCTAACCCCATTAAGGCCCATCTCGTGGTTGAGTTGGAGTCTTGGAAAGGAGCTTGCTTAGCTTTTTTAGCTTAAAAAGAGACCCTTGCAATCTAGCCTTTTGTTCACACAATGCCATTTAGCAATTGGTGGCATGTGATTTGTTATGGCGAAAATACACATGGAGCTTTGGGGGAGCTGTTCAATGAGCATCTAGCTGCCTTGACCATGCCACGTCGAAACGTGATGATGAGGAGATGATAAAGAGCTTGTTTGCCTCTCTTGACACCCACTGAGGTCCGATATTACTCATCGGGTTTGCTCTCTGAACAAACAAGGAGACGTCATCGCCAATGGGGATTGCTCATCGCAAAAGTCAAATGCGAGGTCTGCAGTTTGTCCATATAATACTGGTTGTATCCAACTCGCACTCATCCATGTCGTGACACACCACCCACCGGGCCAGGGAGCTGCAGCTGCAGCGAGACACAGGGGCCTGGGCTTGTTGGTTTCCAGCGGGGCGGGTCCAACTCCGCGCGGAAGGAGTCGTCCGTCTCCTTGTTTCCTCCTGCTGCAGGCCGCTATTGGTGGCGGCATCTCACTGCACCTAAACCCCCTGGCCGGCAGAGTTGTCTCCTGCAGGAACTGTGACAGCTGCATTCCAATGGGTAGGGGTGCCTGCCGACTGGGCAATCTGATATCGTACGTATTAGACAGTCAACAAGTTCGGACAACCTTTCAAGTCACAAACAAGAATTCAATGGTTTGAATACACTTACTCAAGGTCCGGAGGTCCTTCGGCCGGCGCTGGTTGTTTGATCAAGAGACATGGCGCCGGGAGGAAAGACTTGAAGGAGGGGCGCCGCTCAAGGGGCCAAGACATGCGCGGCGGGTGTCAGGTCGAGGCTTGTCTCGGCAGCGCCCGACGCGGGACCAGGGGTTCTTGTCCAACTCACAAGAATTCGAGAAGAAGCAATTATCAGAGGGGACCCTCGCGAGTTTTGTACACTTTTCACGTCAACCACGGTGCCTCACAACCGATCGTTCTCCCCGGCTTGTGACCGACGCAAACGATCCACCTACATAAGAATCGGACTTTCGAGGGAAATCACTCGACACAAGTAGCTATAAATATCTACGTAACGGTACCCGCATTGAAAAGCCGTCTGTCTATCTGGCATCAACGTTAGGCCGTGCTGGCGAATCCTGAGCTACCAAGTACACGAAAAAAGAAAAGAAAAAAATACAGCAGCAAACAACTACGCAGATCCTTTGGCTTAAGAGCTAAGATGGGCATCAGGAATTTGCCATACTCTATCGATTTTTTCCAGACTAGATGTTCCTCCTTCTCCCTTGCTCGGTATATCATAAGTCCTTGTGCTGTGTTTTGGTCGTGGTGGCAGGTCTGGTCGGTAATGGCACATAGTTAATTCAACCAGAGTACTTACTACGTACACATCTCAACTAGTTGCTCGTCAAGAATTGCGATACCGACAGAATACTGACTCTGACTCGACTTGTCTGTACTCGGCCCCTAAGTGTGCCGAGCGCGAGAACTTATTAAACTATAATTGATGATGTCCACCTCGAACTTCGGACTTACAATACCCCAACTGTCTGAAAGAGTCAGCCGTCCACGAGGTCCGTATACTAAGCTTCAGAACTCCCCTCCTGGCGTGTAGATTGTTAATTAAAGGGTTTTTTCTGTAAGAAAGAACCGGAGCACTCCGTTAGACTTAGTATATTACGATGCTCTCGAGTCTCGAAGTCATGGTACAGGACATCGGTATAAGCTTTTTCTGCTCAATATCCTCTCCAATCTCCGCGTACTTGCGGTCTAGTCATTCAAGAAGGCAGTTATTCGCCGAACATGATCATGTAGAGGACTACTCCGTACAAGACCAGCGGAACGTCGTATAAATGACAGCCAACGGATGTCCGTACTACTGACCGTCGGTCTTTACTCCCACCTCCGCATGACCTAGCTCTTCTGCTCGTTCACTCTGTTTTGCCTCCACATACCGGTTTCGTGAGAAATCTCGTATAGAGTCGTCCTTTCACAAGACACCCCAAAGGCCAAAGAGCAGCATTCTCCCCCAATATCTTAACCCCGGAAACCAAAGATGCGTCTTACAACAACCGCCATCGCCGCCGCCTTGCTCTGCGCAAGCGCAACCCTCGCCCAAGCCTGCTCCCCAGGCTTCTCCTCGAACCGCAACCTCTCCCCCGGAGACTTCGCCTGGCTCTTTGCAGACTACAGCGTCGACGACGTAGCCGGCTGCAGCAGCCGCTGCGCCCGACAGTGCACCGCTCCGGGCAAGAAGTATGGCTCCTGCATGGGCTGCGCCAGGTGGAAGGGTAACGCCCAGGGCAGAATGGACCTCCCGCCGTGCAGCAAGCCCATTACGACGGACAATGACGACGGCGAGTACGAGTGTCACGGATACGGCGATGGTTTCTGGAACTGTATTACGCCGTGCCCTCCTGGGTATGAGGTATGTGTTTGATCCCGTGAACCAGCTTTTTGCGATGGCTTTGAAGTGAATGAATGCTAATGGCGATGTCCCGACTAGTCCAAGGATTTGGGTCGTGTTCAATAAATACCGAATCGTCGAAAGACTTGTAACATTCTTGAAAGCTGAGCCCTGTTGTGTGCTCTGGATAGCGCTGTTGTTAATCAACAAAGACTCATGTAAAGCCACAGATTGCATGATTCCTCTTCCACGGTTCCCGCATCTAGAACAAACCTCCCTATAACCAGACCTCAGTGCAATTTGAACTGCCCGCTGACTCCTTCAAAACTTGTGATCTTTCCGCCCAGCGATTTGGAATCCCCATAGTAGCGGAAGCGGTACGTCCCCGGCTTCGCATCGCTCTCCGTCTCCCATACAATCTCAACCTCGCTCGTGGCGAGTATGTCGCTCGTCCGCTTCCAGTGGAAGATCAGGTTCCAATCGTAATCGGTCCGCACGGTGTCCCATCTCTTGATGGCTCCTTTGTCAATGGTTAATCTCTCGACAGCTGCGTACGTCTGTTCCAGGCGCAAATTGTTACGCGGATTAGCTCCGACAAATGTGGCTCTCACGACGTCCCCGATGGCGTAGTTGTCCTCCACGTCAGTCTTGACGTCGCCGAAGCTGCGGAAAACGGGTGTGCCATCTCGCACTACGCCAGTGATGAAGCTCAGGGAGCGGTTTGTGTTGTCTGGAGGATAAGGTCCTCCAGCGTGAGCAGGAGGTCCTTTGGCGAACGAAGCTCCCAGCGTCGGGAGATAATTGAGCGTCCGGTTAATGTATGCATCCAGCGTGTAAGGACCATACAGAGTTGAAGCACCCTCGTATCGTTGTATTCTGTCAAAATTAGTGCCGAGCTCTATAGAGTGCCACGTATGAGAGCTTACCCGTATTCCTGTGGTGTTGTAATGTAATGAGTGTAACTGTTTGCTGGTCCTCCAATCACAACGACCGGCTTCGCATCAGTCTCTTCAGCAAACAAGGACTCAGCCTGGTGTTTGACTGCATCTTTCCATCGTCTTCCCGCCATGGTCGAAGCCTCTCCCGGGCTGACAATGATGATCAGCTGGCCGACTCTGAATGTTTGAATGTCTACAATGTTGGGTGTCCATTGGTATGGGTTGAATACTTCGCCAACATCGAGTAGAATGGGTTTGGGGGAATGACAGGCGACTTGGTCTTCCGTTGGTGCCTTCAACAAACCGCCAACAACCTTCCATAGAGGGTTCGTATTAGTCGAGTTCGAGTTGTGCTGGGTGAAGTCAAAAGCCCCAGGACCATCAGACGTTCCAGCTGCGAATGAGTAGCCCAACGCTGCAGGGCAGGTTCTCACTTCCGTTCCGTTGGGAAGCTCGAAGTGGAATTCTGACATATTGTGGAAGGCATGGAAAGACTTTACCCACGAGCCACGAACTCGCTGAGACTTGGATCCCATGTCGTCGAATAGCGCCTTAGCAGCTGTGTACTGCCTCTTGCCGATCTCAAAGCAAGACGAGGCACCTTCATCCTTCTCACGGAAGAATGGTCCCCTGGCGTGACACTTTTGGCTTTTCCCGTCACTGCAAGTGCTTGTCTTGAAGTCGCAAGGCTCGCCGGTGTCCTCGCAGAAAGCGCCTAGCACATTTGGACTCACATCGCCCACATTGGCCTGGGAGAATCCAGCGACGAATCCCTTGGTCGCATCAGACGACTTTCGCATACTTTTCTCAAATAGCCATGCTGCCACTCCCTTGTTGTCTCCCGAAATGAGAGTGTTATTGCCGAGCATGGATGTGCCGTGGGTGGGAAACCATGTCAAGGCACCGATGCTCTTCCCGTCTGACGCTCGTTGGAACTTGAGTAATGTCAAGTCTTTCTCAACCGACCCGTCATTCTCAGCGCTGACGTTGTATTTGGCACGTTCTTCTTCCGGATTCGCCATATACGAGTACAGGCTGCGGTTGATGTTTGCGCCAGTGACCTTTGTTGAGCCAATACTGAGATGCCCCGGCTCTAGGCTCTCATGTGCACGACGGATGGCCAACAAGGTACCGTCAACGATGGCTCTGTAACTTTGCTGGTCGAAGCCTTTGCTCGTGATTTGCGGTAGGAGATAGTTGAGCCAGGCGCCCGGACCAGAGTGCGAGTGTGTCCCAGTCAGTGCCAAGTTGTGATGTCCATACATGGAGTAGTCGAAGCCTAGCTCGGCGAGCCCGTGAAGTACACCGTAACGAACAGCTGTGTCTCCCGACTGTGTGTCAAGCACGAGGTAGATGAACCTGTCGTTGCGTCGTTCGGTGCTTCCTACGATGAATGCTCGGGCATACAATCTCTGTCGAAGGCCAGTGCCAAGCTGTTTAGGGTCTGCATAACCCATCATGTTGATTTCTACAACCGGGCCGGTAATGTCAGCTCGGCCAGCACCGACGAGATACAAGTCATTGTCTGCATCGATGTCGAGTTCATTGAATGTCCCGGGAAACCATCTGCCCGTATCGATGAAGCTGCTCCATGGGGTATAAAGTCCGTAAACAACCAGAAATGATAGAATGAAGCCGAATATGCAGACTAGAGCTCTCCGGGAGCTCGGTGGGGACCTTGTTTGAGACGCCGCCGGCAAAGCGGGTCTCTTTTCGGCGCTCCGTTCTTCAGGCATTTTGTCTGAGCCTAGAAGAAATGGGGTATCAAAAAGACATGGATGAAGTGAAGTGTAGATTACAAAGATGGGAATGGATCATGGGACAAAATAAGGTGTTAGCGTCAAGCCTTCGAGAGCAGTGCGCTGCCAGGCAGTTGCGACACGGAACGTCCGGCCGGACCTCTCGAGGTAAGGGAGGGGCGGACGAATGACGCACGCAGCACGAAATTGTTAGTGCGCGAATCTCGAGCGCCGAGTCTTACCATGATGACCAGCTCCGTTTTGAGATGAAGTTCATTCTTAGATAGTGCTCAAGAACATCTGGATCTCAAGTTCGAACTTTTGAAAATTCAATATTCTCAAACATGGTCACACACGAAGTCGTGGCTACGAGAGGCACCATGCTACGTTACTAACAATGATAATTACTAAGCGACGCATAAGATAGAGCGCCATAGGTAAAGCGCGAAGTTACAAGCGGAACAAATTAAACTGAACATAACCAAGGAACAATCGGGTACTATAGCTCAAGAGAAAAGAAAGGCGTCGTTGCTTCCGTAGGGTTCGTTCCTCCTCCAAATCCTTATGTTCCAGGTCTGATAGAGCATCAGATCAGCAGCTCAACAAGAGTCGCAGCTGTGGCAAGCAGGACCCTAGTAATACTTGGGGTTCTTGGGGTCGGTCAAGTCGAAGATGACAGACGAGTGAGGTCGAGCACCGCCACGGTCGCGGGTGAAGATGCTCTCAAAGTCGATTGATCGGTTGAAGCTGAGGCTTCCGTCGGGGAGAATGTCGAGCCAATGACCCTTGTAATCTCCAGGTGTGTTGACAATGGAAATCTATCACGAATAACATGTCAGTAAACAACCTCGGTACAAGAATGTCAAACATAACGAGAGACGCGTGACTCACATCACCACCCTGCACGAAGTATCCAGTGACAAGCAGGTTCTTCTTATCCGGGCTGATCTTGACGTAGTGAGGTCCAATGATTGGCTGCGTCTCGTTGGGGTCATCCAGTCTCTTGACGTTGTTCAGGTCGGAGATGTCGAGTGCTGCAACGTGGTTGCCCAGAGTGATGGTGAAGTATGCGAATTTGCCGTCGTCGGTAATGTCGGAGTAGATAGCCAATGAGTCCTTGGCTTTGGAGCCCAGGTCGAAGAGCAGCTCAGCAACGCCTTGCTTCCCAGACGAATTGCGGCGGAATGGGTAGATGATCCAGACTTGGCCTGGGCCAACAGCGGTGGCAATAGCAGCGCTCTCGGGGTTGCCGGGGATGAACTTAACATCTTGAATGCCCAAGCCCTAGAAACCATTAAATTTTTGTCGTTCGCTCCGAAGTTGGCAGAGGACTTACGGCAGGGATCGTAATGGTCGAGATGATTGTTCTGTCGGACAAGTTCCACAGGCGAAGGGTGCTTGCTTTCTGGATTCCCAAAGTCGGCTTGAGAATTGTAATAGGCACGACGAAGTCCGAAGTTAAGATAATTCCCTTGTTGAAATCCACAGCCAGACCATGGGGACTGAACTGCTCGCCGAGAATGTTGAGTGTTCCAGCGACATCCTCCGGCCATTCATGGATAATATCGCCCTCTGCGTTGGTCTCGACCAGACGGCCGGGAGACGTTCCAACAGCACTGCCCATGTACGTGATGAAGAATCCACTTGTCACAGTAGAATATCAGCACTTCTCATCTTCCCTGGGAACGTTTGGGAATAACAGGAATCATGACGAGGACAGAGTCATGGCATGTAGTGGTGGTGACTTACCCCTCTGGCTTGGCGCGGATTTCGTCGACGATGGAACTCAGTAGAGCTCGGTTAGACTTCTTGAACTTGGGAGCGTAGGGATTAGAGACATCAAAGTAGAAGGCCGTGTCCTGAGTCTTAAGCAGAGACAGTAAGCCGCCTCCAATGAGTGTCTTGCCATCAAGAGAGCTACCCAGGTGGTGAGGAGAGTTTCCGCTCGTGGGCACATCGGTGAGAGCAATAATTTGACCGAAAGTGTCCTAGAAGCGAGAACGGTTGTAAGCATTGCTCGACCCACTGAGTGTTAAGTAGAGACAAGAGCATCACTCACATCGTCCAAGCTGGCAGTGACCAAGAAGTCCTTATGGATGTTGTCACCAGCTCCAGTCCAGAAGTAGCCAATCTTCTTTGGCTTGATGTTGGCGCCGGTGAAAGGAGGACTCTCGAGAGGAGGCGTTGGGATTTGAAGAATGGGGAGAGGAGGGGCATTGGAGGCCAGAGGCTCGGTGACTCCCGGGATAGAAGGAATCAGAGGGGGCAGACTGATCCCCAGAGGACTTCTCTTGCTGGCAGGAGAGTAATCGTTGCCGTTGACTGGCCCTGCTGTCACGGGAGAGAGCAGGAAGCCCGTGAGAGCTGCCAAAGAGATCTTAGAAAGCATCTTGAGTCAATTGAGCTGCTGGTAATTATTTGTTGAAATCCAAGAAGTCTGATTTTTGAAGATGTTCCCAACACCAGACTACGGGCACTTATCTATTCTTCTTATACTCCATCGTGAGCTGCAATAAGGGCCGTCTGACAGTCAACCGCTTCTCTTCTCTGGACGTGAGCTCACTAGACAATCACACCATGAAGCCAATAAACCTCATCATCTACGCTATTGTCGAAGGATAGTATGCCGTGAGCCAGAACGATAATCAAGATGCACCCAACAGAACTTCTCAGAGTCATGCAGCGTTGGAGAGATGCCTGAGCATGTCTTTGCCAAGAAGTCGGGACTCACACCTTGCCTATCACAATCCAGAGATCCTTAACCTCTAGCTCATCGTGGCCACATCTTTTTCCTCAAAAGGGAAGACTGTAATGTCGCGATCGCTTGGAGCACGGAAACTTGGGCGCCCGACGGCTCGACGTGTAGAGCACACTTCTTGACGATGTCTTAACTTTGTGTCAAGCAGCGCTAGTGTGGCCCAGTGCTTCGGCATTGGAGGGAGAAGTAAGCTTAACGAATGTCAAGAAGTTGATCGACACTGACGGCGACCACGCGTAAAGCCATGTGAGATGAAGAGTTGCAGATCATCTCTCAACTGGACGACGTAGGTGTTTTGTTTGTTGGATTGACAGGGGCGAGATGTACCAAACTCAGACATATATCGATAGTACCGGATGGCATCATATGTAACGAATAACACTTCGAGTTCATTTAAGTATTTGGGACCGATAATCTCATTTCCGCATAAGATCTCAGCGAGGCTGAACGGCAAGGGACGTTGAGGCATGCAACGGGGGCGCCTCTGGCTCTGCTGCTGCGTCGGGCATATCAAACCTTAACTTCTCTAGCTTGGCAAAACGGGTTCCAGAGAAGATGAACCAGGTAGGACGATGGCGATCTTGGACAGTTTGGTAGAGCTACGATCGAATAGCGTGTTCGTGCTTGGCTAGTATGCTGTTCGGGTTGAACAGCCATCCTCAAGGCATTTACACACTACTGGTCTCAACGTTCAGAAGATAGTAGACTGATTGGGATTGCGAAAACTCACTATGTCAGAAGAAAGGACTGACCTGGGATTGCTTGTCAACACATGCTCTGCCATGCTATTTCTACATCTTGTTTGAAATGTGAGAAAACGTCTGGTCTCTTGAGCATACGGTCAAGGAGAGAAACGCGTTGAAGACTGGGTCTTTCTGTCATATTTTTTGCCATGTGGATTGACATGATCTTGACATTTCAGATGATTTAACTCTATTTGAATCCAGATCACGACTTTGCCCCGGCCTTGTAACGCAAAACTTGGGCCGGCCTGTGATAAAGAAGATTACCAAAAAGATGCGGGTAACTTTCAAGCCAATATCTGCAGTAAGACAAGGTTAAAAGTAAATTACCGTAGTCTACCGCGTCAAAGTAAGCTTCAGTCAGGCTAGTTAGATGCCGTCGATGGGGATCAGCGCCTAAGCAGCCTTTCCCCCACGCTTTCCCACGATGTCGTTATTTTCGGACATATGTCGAATGGCCGGGGTCCAACCTAGCGGCATGCCCGATTCAAAGACAACTGCAGTCGATCATTTAGTCAATATCACACCAACACCCATCGAACACGCATATGCACTCTTGATTTTTGGGGAAGATGCCTGTGAGACTCGAATTGGGAAAGTCAATAGTGTCGACCGGAAAGCAACGATGCCGCTGAATGGTCAATGTCGTCATCGCGAACCGTTGCTTCTGCAACTGCAACCTCTACGCCATGATTACTCGATGCGTTGAACGTGATAGTAATGAAAATTCCGCCATCGCGTCGAAGGAAATGAAGTATGTCCTTTCGAACTTGAAGGCGGTATTCTAAAGGTTAGACGCAGTTATAAAATATACTTTACAGATTGTCTTCCCTGCGCTGTTTCGTTTCATCTCTCACAATCTGCACCTCCTCATAAGTCGGTTCTTCATTATCTGATAGAATGAGACTACTTCAGATCTCCGTGGCAGGACTCATTGGCCTCGTGGCCATCACAAGTGCCTCGCCTCAAGTGGCGAAGAGAGACGCTCAATTCAATGTTGGACAGCCCATCGATGCCAATGGCAAAGGTGCCCCGATCCTGGGTAAGTGACACGGAGCTCACCTTCTCGATGCCAGACCCAACTAACAAAATGACACAGGCGGCACCAACAATGCAATTGACAGAGAGAATCCGGATAATCTCGGCCGGCAGTCCACTGATAGCGGCGTGGTGCCGAACCTGAAATGGAGATTCTCTGATTCCAAGACCCGTATCTTCAACGGAGGCTGGGTCCGCGAGCAGGTCATTCAGGACTTGCCTCAGAGTCACGATATTGCAGCCGCCCAGCAGCATATCAAGCGTGGAGCAGTAAGAGAGCTGCATTGGCATAAGGTTGCGGAGTGGGGGTTTGTGTACTCTGGCTCGATTATCATCGGAGCCGTCGGCGAAGACGGAAAAAGTCAAGTTGAACAACTCAACTATGGAGATATTTGGTAAGATCCAAGCTGAGAAGTCAAAGAGCACTGCATGCTAATATTGGTCCTAGGTATTTCCCCAAGGGTGCTGCTCACTATGTTCAAGGAGTTGCTGAAGAGTCCGAGTTTCTCTTGGCCTTTGACGAAGCCGACTTTGATAAGATTGGGTTGGTGCTTCCTCTTCTATATGACACTCGTGTATGGAACGAATCAACTGACACTCAAAAGAACCACTTTCAACATTGTCGACTGGCTGGCCCACACCCCAAGAGACATCTTGGCCAGGAACTTTGGCGTCAATGCTTCCGTCTTTGACAAGCTACCCGCCACGAACCCGTACATCCTGAACGGAACGGTGGCAACCACGAACGTGACGGTTCCCCCGGGGCAGTACCTCTCCGGCAACAGTTCCTTCGTCTACCGCACTTTCGAGCACCCACCTGAGAATGTTCCCGGCAACGGCGGCGAGTTCAGAAAGATTGACTCGACCAACTTCCCCATTGCCAAGACCATTGCTGCCACGTTCGTCACCCTGAAGCCTGGCGGGCTGAGGGAGCTCCATTGGCACCCCAACGCCGAAGAATGGCTCTACTTCCACAAGGGCAAGGGCAAGGCGACTGTGTTTATCGGAAGTGCAGCGTCGAGAACCTTTGACTTGGAAGCGGGTGACACAGCGGCTTTCCCGGACAACAGCGGGTGAGTGAATCATTCATCTCGAGGGAGTGGAGTGTGTCGTTGCTAATTCGTTGAATAGACACTACATCGAGAACACCTCTGATACGGAAGACTTGGTATGGATTGAGCTGTACAAGTCTGACAGAGTCGTGGATATTTCTTTGACCCAGTGGCTCGCTCTCACACCGCCTGAAGTAGTCGCGCAGACTCTAAAAGTGCCGCTGGAATTCGTCAAGAGCCTCAAGCAGGAGAAGCAAATCCTCATCTGATCAGCGTGATATCTGCATGAGAGGGGCGATTGGCTACGGTTTCGGTGTGATATAGGTCTGCTTCCTCTAATACTCTATTTGATCTGTTCACAATCCATGGCTCAATGAGCATAAGACAGATGAGCTATGGATTAGGAGAGATGAGATCAATTGAAGAAGGCCATAAAGAGGAAGAGAGATATGCTATACCAGAAAGATATAGTGTGAAGAAGCTATTGTTGTTGAAAATCTCAATGGCGACGAAGCTAGCGTTGAAACAGTTTTACTTCTTAGGACCTATTACTTAGTTGTGTTGTAATTACTAGTTCCCCTCAAACCATTATCGACCATGGAAACTCAATTGCTCACAGAGCTACGCAGAGGTGCAGGTGGGTGGGCAACCACCACGAGGTCACGATGACATTCAGCGACTCATGTTCTGCACTTGAACCTACACAGCAACGAAAGCTTGATAAGCGGGGAGAGACGGAGATGCTAGGGAAATAAGCGCCTCAACGCCAAAAATCCGAAAGCATCTCCAACTCCATCATTTTCCCAATTGAGAGGTAGACGGGAGACGGGAACGGAAAATTCGGTAGGATGGCAGCACGCGTTATGCAGGCAACCCCCGGCGGGCCAGAGCCGGAAACTCTATCAGCGAACTAGCACAGCAGCTCTCTGGTCAAGCCGTACCAGTGTGCGATTACTTATGTCGTGTGGGCAATGAGGGGTGGGAAAGGTTATGGGCCGTCAACTCAACCCATGTGAGTAGCCTAGAACACTCAAATCACGCGGAATCGTATGATTGGGGATAGATTGTGTGGTGGTCAATGAAGCCATTGGCGAAGAGGAGGAGGGTTGCAGAAAAACATCATCCTATTGACCGCTCGCGAGCTTTTGGCCGTCCGCCATCACAGCGAACCTTCCTTGGGTCGTTTCGTCGTATCATGAGCTGCCTCGGCGAAGCGCGGCGGAAATGGAACGGTCTCTTTCGATTTTGGAGGCATGCTACATGGTGGTGTGAAGGAGGAATAAGAAACGCTGGGACGATCGACCAAGCCACCCCTCGTTCGGTCTGGTCTAAGCAGGTAGACGGCAGTTGTTCCGAAGCAATCACGACTTGGCCCAGAATTGAGACCACGTTGGGGGCGGAATGCGGGGAGGCAGGACTAGAGACAGTCGACACAGTGGTTTCCAGACAGCATCGAACTTTCCAGAGTCCAGATGACGGACTACGTGTGTGACTGTTGGACGAGGATGGGCTCTAATGTCGTTGTCGATTCTCCCTGACTGGTATGGTAGGGATGGCAGCTTTACGTCACTCCGATGCCTTCTCAGTGCTAACAGACCCGGGGGATCATCCCCTCTATTGGCTAGGCGTCGCACCTGGAATTACCATTTACCAGTCAAAAGGCTGATAAGGCATCGAGATGAAGGCTCTGGAGGTCGCCATGACGGGTAAAAGGTCAGGGAGCTTGGATCCGGTCCTCTTGATAGTGTCGACCGGATATGCGACCCGCGGGTCGGCCGCAGGTACCATGGACGGCAGATAGGACTGGAAGCCAACGGAAGACGACGGAGCATTGATACAGGTCGATCTGATGACCGTGCTCGCCCATCGAGACCCTGAAGGATCGCCAGGGAACCGGTCAGGGCCATTAACTTGTTCTTCTTGGATTTCGTTTGCCTCTGGGGAGACTAAGCGATCTCTGGTCCAAGAATTGAGTCGCATTCTCTGTGTGGCAGTGCTTGAACACGACCGACACGGCACGAGGGAAAGACGAAGCCTGGAGGTCGTGGAGAAACAGCTCATCCCTTCTATATGGGGTCGGGGCCGAGAGGTCAAGTGAACAGCTGGAGGGTTTCCGGTAGGACGGCGCGCAGTGTCATCGGCAACGGTTACGCAGCCCGTGGTGGAGACGCGTTGCTGGTGCCGGGATGCTGCATTGGTCGGGAAGTCAGTGACGAACGAGGGATTGGGCTGGTGGTACGGAGAACGGATGCCAAACATATTTTGTCGGGCCAGAGGTAGAAAGACTTATGTCAGGGGTCGAGATAGGGAGAAGATCGTGAATAAGTGACAAACTTGAGTCTGTGAAACCCGAGCTCACTCGCGAGTCCCACGAGTGTTCTTGGGGGACAACCAGCAACATGTCAAGCAAGTTGCAGGGTAAACCATGTCTCGTCGCGGAAGCAGCCCCTAGCAGGCACCTCTCTGGGCAAATAGGGACCTCTCCATGTTGCGGTTGTTCCATGAAAGAACGTCGCCGCCCCGTTATTTGTGTGTCATCGCGACCTGGCCAGAGTTGGGCCTAATGGAGCCGGATGGGCTGGCACAACAAGGCATTGCGCTGCAGAACGAGGTTAATTACATGGCATATTGTCTATCAGCGGGGGATAGGAATGGGTAGCCCGGCAATAATACAGACTGTAAACATTCATGCGGCCTCTGTAAATGGGCAGTTTGTCGATGGGATGGGCCCTTTTTTTTTTCTCTTTCCATAGAACAGAATCTGGATCTTGTCCTCGACCTGGACCCTTCTTTTTCCCATCCTCTCTCTGCTCATTTTCCGCCAGTCTTCCCTTATGCTTTGCGCTTTCTTCCGGTGCACGGAAACCAGATGAAACCGAAGACTTTCCAGCTCGCATGGTCAGGTAAGGTATCCATCCGTACCTAGTCTGTAGACAGGTTGATCACAGTGGTCATAATCCACCATATCCTCGAACCCAATTGCCCTACCCTGCCTGACCTGTCAATTTTTCTTGCATTCACCATTTCCAACCCCAGTGCCTCTGACCATTTTTGTGCTGTTACGCGATACTTAACCTTGGGGTCTATATTCACCTTGCAAGGTTTGAATTACATATTAGCAAGGTACCTTGACAATGGTTGTAGAAGAAGAGTCACAATGCCATCTTGGTATCCTAAGCGCAACCCCGATAGGTAGGTAGAGCACCTGAGTAAAGGTACTCCCTAAGGTGCAGAGTACGTACTTCACTCCAGCCGGCTCGCTCTGGGATTGGGCCGGCCTGACTTCACTGTCAAGCTCCCAGGTGCCCCGCAGAAAACCGCACCCGCCGCCTTACAACCCACCTGCACCTCCAACTCCCGTCACAAGTCGCACCTGCATCCCACTTCCGTCTGTCTACCTCACCTCCAACCGACCTCCTCCCCGACTCCTTTTGTCCACCGATCTTTTTTTCTTTTTTTCGTCTTGTTCACATCGCCTACCTCTATTGAGAAGAACAAAATCACCTCTACCAAGCGCGGGATCAACCAACAAGATGAACCCTCTTCAGAAGAACAAGGTCGACGTCTCGGTACGTTCAATCCAGCCACTTGCTACCCAATGCCCCACCTTGAGAACGAAGCCCGCGATGGCATCACGGCTTCCATGACCGACCAATTCTCATTGCGTTCTTTGACGAATCTGGTACTGATCCCTCTCTTTACAGTCCCTTTCCCCTGAGGAACAGCGTCTCTTCCGCCTTTACGGCAAGCTCCCCTCTCGCTCCGACCATTTCGCCAAGCACTTGAAGGACCGCAAGTACTTCGATTCTGGCGACTACGCCATGTCAAAGGCGGGCAAGGGTGACAGCGTCGATACTGGCGCTGTCGGATCCCAGCACCCCGTTCCCGAGAACATCCCCCATCTCTCGAGCCCCGTCAACAACTCCTCATCCTCCCTTAACGGCAACAAGCACCACGGCAGCATCGCCGCCGGTGCCCACGCCGGCAGCCCTGTCAAGGAGGCGAGCTTCCTCAACAGAGAGACCAGCGCTGAAGAGGCCGAGCTTAAGGACCAGGAAAACACCTCTCCAGTCGACGGAGCCGCAAAGACCGAGGCTATCCCTATCCGGAGATGAGGTCCTGCAGGACCTTTTCGTCTATACTCTCTCCCTTGCCCCAAGTTTCGTAAAGGTGTTGTCGACACTACACGACGGCAAATTGGGTTGTTTCACGGGGCCAAATTTCTACTACGATGTTATGATGCTGTGTTGATGTTTTCACGGGTCTCTTAGGCGTTGGAATGGGGTTGGGAACCAAGTACAAATGGTTGTTGAATGGACTGGGACGGTTGTCTCTAAGTTTGTCTGCTGTGGAAGGACTTGCGGATTACGACGCTTTCAAGGTCGCGCTACTGGATATCATGTCCGCGATGTACGGCACTATTGCGAAGACTGAAGCTTGTCCGTACATGGTTTTTTTTAGGACTGAAGGAGGAAGATGAACGAAGAACGACAGGCATATGGCGGCAACTAAATCGAAACCCCCTTCGTCTTGTCCGTATGCGCGCATGGCAGCGTTTGCGTTGTCCCTCAAGCCCCCCACTCTGGTGGCGGGGTTTGATTGCGCAAATGCGATTCTTACGAGTGACCACCTTGTCTGTCCTCGTGGGTGCTCACATGCTCCTCCGCCGACCATCCAACTCTCCTCTATAGTCCCATAGAGGCCATCTACCTGCTGCATAGCTTAGTGTTGTTAGCACAGCTCGATCCGAGCAAGTCACAAAGATGCCCACAGCTTTCAATGTCAAAATGAAAATGTTGCGGGAACCCAATCTATTGATGAGCAATGAGACACTTCTTTTGATGCCATACGCCGTTCCGTATCCCAGTAACCTCCCTCCCAGTGGACAATCTCTATAGGTGCCCTTGTTCACAGATCCAGACCCTTGATCGCCATATCCTTGGCGCCTTCGAATGTCTTGTTTCCTCCAATGAAGCCCGCAGCGTGGACGAAGACACAGCCGGGGATGCCAGAGATGCCGTCCAGTTCCGCATCTCTGAATCCGCGCCACGCCTCGGGCAAGGGCTTGCGGCTCTCGAAAGAGTCCTTGGTGACGGGCACCGCCTGCACACGCCACTTGGCATCGGGGGTCGGCTTCTCGGGGTACAGGACGTAAACCACCGAGGGGTTACCTCCCTCGAGGGAGTAGAGGTGATCCTTCCAGGGTGCGCTCTGGCCCTCGAGGACGAGCACGCGGCCCTGGGGGTCATACTGGGTGCGCTTCTCGAAGGCGGCCTGCACGACGGCGCGGGCGGGCAGCCATGCCTTGATGTAGTAGTCCAGGTCGGCGTCAAACTCCTCGCCGATGCGGCGGCTGGCCTTGACGAAACGCTCGTCCTCGAGCTTCTGGGCCTCGACAGGGTCAGAGGGGACCGGGTCGTTCCAGTTGGGGTTCAGGCGGCCGACGACAGAGCCAAGGGTGAAGGCGCCCTCGCTGAAGCGCTTCTCGAGACCCGCGGCGGCGACGGCCTTGGGGTCGTAGACGGAGATGCCGTTGTCGTGGGCGTCCAGGGCCTCGACGAAGCTCTCGTACAACTTGTTCCACAGCAGCTCGACTTCGGCGCTGTCCTCGGCGACGGGGGTCTCGGCGCCCTCGCTGAGCTTCTGGGCGATGATGGCCTTGCCAAAGTGCATAAAGACGAGACCGGCGCTGGAGAGCTTGGTGTTCTTGCCGGGGAAGGTGGTGGCGAAGCCACGCTGGTGGTGGTCGTAGCGCTTCTTGCCGTCGTCGTACTCGCCGCCGACGTCGACGACGGTGTGGCAGGTCTCGAGAAGCTTGGGATCGCGGGTGCGGATCAGCTGGGAGTCGTGGTAGGTGGGCAGCTTGCGCAGCATGTGCACAGCGAGGGCCTCATCGGCGTGGAAGTGGCCATTGTGGGTGCCAATGGTGACGGGTGACATCTTGAGTCTCTTTGCTGCGTTTTCGGCCATTCGTAGAGGTTTGAAGAAACGGAACATACAATTGATGGACGGAAACGAATAATGACGAAGTTTTAGAATTAAAAAAGCGTTTGTGGGAACTGCAGTTCAATGATTTTCAACAAGTCTCTCTCTCACTGGTGAAGGAAGAATTGGAGAGTTTGAGATGTGATAGCCACACCCCGCTTTAACACACACACACCCCATACCCTCTCACTTCCGAAGGTCGCTTATCTGAACTCCCTGCGTGGCTCTATTCTTGACGCTTTTCCCAAGCTCTCACTGGAGAGAAGTGGCCAGGAACGTGCATCGCAGCCTCGTCGTCGCCCTGCATCCGCGCGCCCGTGGAAACTCCATACTCAAGCAACAGTCAGCCGTAAATGTCATCAATACCAACCCCAAATTTGTCCCATCGTCAATGGTAGAAGTCATTCGCCATCCATCATCTACGGTCAAATCCCCATTTCTTCAATCGATTGATACAGCCCTCCAAACTACGATTAACTAGCTTCCCTTTGCGACTAACGAAAACTCTCCCGTGTCGTCCGCACCGATGCCATCCGCGATGAGCGACGCCAACGGCACCGTCGCGACCCGCGACGTCAAGGCCGAAGGTCAAGAGACCGAAGATGAGGAGAATGGAGAGGGAAAGGCGACATACAAGTCATGGAAGAAAAAGTATCGCAAGATGCGCATCACCTTTGATCAAAAGATGCACGACTGCGAGGAATTGCATCGCCAAGAGTCCCTGGCGCTTGCCACTGCGAAGCGCATCGCCATCGAGAATGAGTAAGTATCTTCTTGGAATCAATCTGCAGTCCCGTGCCAGCGTAGGTTGTTGCCGAGGCGTTTCTAATACTCGGCCACAGTCGTATACTCGATCTGCTGCTCGACATGAACTCCTCGGCCCAGCTGCCCTTTGACAAGCGCTTCGATATCTCACAAGACCCGCCCGAAGACACGTCGTTCCCACCTCTTGACGTCGACAAGTCTGGAAAGAAGCCCGATGAACCTACCAAGTCGTTGGACACACTCCTCAAGGAGGTACCGCATTATACCTACTCCCAAGCAAAGGAGCAGGACCCCACTGTCGTGGCCGACATGGAACCGTTCTCCGGCGAGCCTCACCCTCCTTCGTTCCTGACGGCCGACGACATTGACGACTACATCCACGACGTGGACCGACGTATCGACCCCGATAACCTCCTCCCGACGCTGGCTCCAGTCGCCCGCAGCAACGCTCCTCTTCCGGAGACCAACCCGCACGCCCTTTCCCAGACGATTGCGATGAAGAACCCCACGAGTGTCTACAATTGGCTCCGCAAGCACGCGCCAAAGACCTTCCTACAGGATGCCGAAAACGCCGCACCCGCTGGAGACGAAGAAGCAGCCGAGGCACCTCCGACAGATGGCCGGAGGCGACGCGGCGGCGGCGCGTCAAGAGGAGAGACTCGGGGTGGTCGCGGATCACGAGGCGGTAAGCGTGCCTCGCTCGCCGCCGTACGAGCCGAGAAAGCCGCGCAGCGAGCCGCGGAGAAGGCGGCCGCGGCGGCCGAAAGGGCAGCTGCTCTGCGCCGCGACGCGGACAGCTACGACCACAGCATGGACGAGGCCGACTCGGACGGTCCCAGCTTCGCGACACCGGCCACAGGTCGGGGCAAGAGAAAGCGCGCCGGTAGAGACGACGACGACGGATACCGGCCCCGGGGTTCAAGCAGCAGACCGACCAAGAAGAAGCGCAAGAGCGAGAGCGCCGACGTAAGCACCCCGACTGTGTCCAAGAGAGGCCGCAAGAGCGAGCTCTCCCGCGACAGAGACGACTAGAAGCTGCGTCAATGTAGATTGTCAGGTTGGTCGTCGGATGACTGATCGTTGTTCTTTTTTGGGAGGCCAACCGAGATATCAAAAATCATCAGGCCAAAATGCTTTAGATGTCACGATTGAGATGGCACTGTATGCTGTGGCCCTGGCTGGGCAGCTGAGAGTCAAATCAGCACAGAAAAACCCTTTCTTTTCCTAGACTTGTACACTACATTATGCATCGATGGATCTCTTTTTTATTATTTTTCTTTGACCTGTTGTTCTTTCCCACGCCCATCTAGCGCGGGTGCCTCATGAGCAATGGATGTGGGCAGGCTCAAGAAGGAAGACAGCGAGGACGAAACGGAGAGAGAGAGAGAGAGAGAGAGAGAGAGCTGGGGCGCTGAAGCTCAAGGAAACGGCGCAACGGGATTTCTTGACCGGATCCAGATTGGGATGGGCAAAATTAGGGAGTAGCAATGGTGCATTTTCTTTCCTTTTTACATTTCTCTCTGAACATGCACTGCTGAGTACCGAATATCTTGTGAGATGAGGGATCCCTATTCCATTGCGGAGGGCGGAGATGGCGAGACAGCTCACCACCTAGTCAGCATATCATTGAGCTTTGGGACTTGCTTTCTTCTTAACTTTTGTTGGCTGTGGATCTCGACATTTGGTATTTACCAACGGTAGCCGCATCACTATGTACAAACAAAGCCAAACCCTCCATATGCCATGTGTCGATATGCTGAAACCAGATGATATCAAGTTGACTAGAACAGAAACCAGAAAGAACAAAGAGCCAACGGAAAATATAGAGAGATGATCCATCATGCTTCTGCAGCTTCGATATGCAAGAGAGAAAACAAGATTCGCATGTTCACGCAGGTTAGATACAGAAGGCCCTCTTCTTCGCATACGCCAAGGGGGAGCTTCGTAGATCGTAGATCGTTCCGCCTCCTTTCTTATGTCTTGAAGGTTCGTCTATCCCATAGGAAGCCGGCTTTCGCCCCCTCTCTCTACAGAATGTAGCGTTTTCTTGAAGTCTACAAGAGTGTTATTCGTTTTTTTCTTTAATAACGGCGGGTCCGCATTTCTTTCTTCGGTGTTTTGTCTCTGAATTTACAACTTCTCCTTGAGGATGTTCTTCATGCGGCGCTCGACGGCGTTGAGGTACTCGTTGGTAGTGACGTAGTCGGAGCGGGCGGTCTTGCCGCAAGCGAGGGCCAAGTCCTTGGTCATGATGCCGTCAACGTCGACGGTGTCGATGCAGGCCTTCTCGAGGGACTCGGCAAAGGCGACGACCTCGGGGGTCTCGTCGAGCTTACCGCGCTGAATGAGACCGCGGGTCCACGCGAAGATGGAGGCGATGGGGTTGGTGGAGGTCTCGTTGCCCTTCTGGTGCTCGCGGTAGTGGCGGGTGACGGTACCGTGGGCGGCCTCGGACTCGAAGGTCTTGCCGTCGGGAGTGATGAGGACCGAAGTCATGAGGCCGAGGGAGCCGAAGCCCTGGGCGACGATGTCGGACTGGACGTCACCATCGTAGTTCTTCAGGGCCATGATGTAGCCGCCGGAGGACTTGACCATCTGGGCAACCATGTCGTCAATGAGACGGTGCTCGTACCAGATGCCAGCGGCATCGAACTCGGCCTTGTACTTGGTCTCGTAGAGCTCCTGGAAAATGTCCTTGAAGCGGCCGTCGTACTTCTTGAGGATGGTGTTCTTGGTGCTCATGTACAGGGGCAGCTTCTTGGTGAGGGCGAGCTTGAAGGAAGCGTGAGCGAAGCCGGTGATGGATTCGTCAGTGTTGTACTGGGTCTGAGCAACACCGCCGCCATTCTTGAACTTGTAGACCTCGATCTCCTGGGGCTCGCCGCCCTCGGGGGTGTAGACCATCTTCAGGGTGCCGTTGCCGGGGAGAACCGCATCCTTGGCGCGGTACTGGTCGCCGAAGGCGTGACGGCCGATGATGATGGGCTTCTTCCAGCCGGGCACCAGGCGGGGAACGCGGGGGATGACGATGGGCTCGCGGAAGACGGTACCGCCGAGGTGGTTACGAATGGTGCCGTTGGGGGAGAGCCACACTGTTGGGAGGGGAAGGGAACCATTGAGTTAGTCCATGTTCTTTGTACTGCTAGGTAGGGTTGCTTTGGGGTGCTTTAGGAGAGGGTCATTGATGACAGGATCTTTGATGCGCGGCCACTGGAATTGTGCAGGTTGCGAAGAGGTGCAGAGGGGGGGATCAAATGCAATGCGCCGGCGCTGCATCCCCGGAGTGCGGGGAGCTGGAGAATGAGACAGGTCCCACGGCGCGGATGCGACAAACCCGGGGGTTCGATCTGACCAGTCCAACGGCCGGTGGGAGACTCTTGAGCGGGCAAGGAACAGTGCCGGAAGAAGAGGGAAGGTAGACGGCGAAAAGACATCCACTGCGCGTTACTTACTTTGCTTAAGCTTGAACTCCTCGACGCGCTGCTCATCGGGGGTGATGGTGGCGCACTTGACACCGACTGAGTACTTCTTGATAGCCTCAGCAGCATCGAGGGTGACCTTGTCGTTGGTCTCGTCACGGTAAGGCAGGCCGAGATCGTAGTACTTGAGGTCGATGTCGAGGTAGGGGTGGATGAACTTGTCCTTGATAGTCTGCCAGATAATGCGGGTCATCTCGTCGCCGTCGAGCTCGACGACGGGGTTCTCGACCTTGATCTTGGCGGCGGCGGCCATTGTGCGGGCAAAGTTGAAGGAGGCGGAGGAGGAGAAGGAGGCGGAAGACTGGGGAACGATGAAGGAGGGCCGGAGAGCAAAGGTTGCGGGACGGCGGAGGAAGCGGGCTGCGTTCATGATGGGCGGTTTGCGAGGCGGCGCGCGGGAGGAATTGGGATTTGAGGGATTGTTTTCGGCTTTTCGGTCGGGAAGGCGGCGGCGGGGGAGCTTCTTGGGCCGCGGTTACTAGGAGGAGCCGGGTCGTGTGATCCGGTAGTGAGCTTCGGGTGGTGGCGGCGGCGGCAGAAGCAGATGCAACGGCACGATGACGGGCTTGCTGCAGGCTGTCAAGAGTGCAGACTGTACGAGCGGATGAGGCGCTTGACAGCTAAGCTACGAACAAGGTGCTGACGATCGCGAAGCTAAGGATGCTCTGCTGTTGCTTTTTGGAGAAGGAGGAGAAGGATGGAAGGTTTGCTTGCAAATAGACAGCAAAACCGCGAGGGAAAGATTGGTTGAGGGGGAGGAGTGAAAAGAGGCAAAGTGGCCGGTTGCAATTGAGACCTTGTCGAAGCAGGAAAGGACAGGAAAAGGGCAAGTCGCGCAAGAAGTTCACGCAGTAGAAAAACGCAGTCGCAGCAGCAGGAGAGAGAGCGGGATGGCAGCCGAGCCGAGATCGTCACAGGTGTGCCTTCCGGGGACCGGTGTGTGGGTGTGTGACGGTGTGAGGTAGAGGTACCACAACAGCTCTGTTTTTGCGGGTATCGCCTCCCAGTCTGTCACTCTTCGTTGGTCGCGAGGTAACGGCTTGTAAGTAGCAAGACTAATGAGAATGCTCAAAAGGCATGGATAGCATCGGCCCCCGGCCAGTCTTGCCTCAAGGGGTCGTGGTTCCAGTTCCTTTACCTCCGTCTCGGACCTCTCTTCGGCCTTTGCGCTTCTCGGGGCTCATAGTTCTGACTTTGATGAGTCCTTTTCTTCATCCTATATCGGCGGTCTCTGGGCATTCTTCAGTGCTTGCTAAATCTTTGGAGCTAGAGAAGGTTTTTGCGATATTTTCCTGGCGTGACACGAAGAAAGAAATATGGCATAAGACTAGCTACCTACGCACAACTTCTTCGCGCAACCCGTCGCATGACGAAAAGCAATCCAACGCAAATCTTCTGCAGCAACTTTTTTTGCTGTTTTTTCGGCAGTGGTTGTCTCAGAAATACCACTTGTGACCCTTTCCTGGGCCTTGGCCCGTCTCTGCTGTTTGCGGACCAATGCCAATTCGTCATCTGCTCTGAGAGGAGAGGAGCATGGGGAGCAATGCATGAAAGCAGCGTGATTGGAAGGGTTAACAGGCCTCTCTCTCATAAAAATTACAAAAGGTCCCCCTTGTCACGAATTTGTCCAGTCTTTCCTCCTCTTCCGAATCCCATGTCCTCCCACCACCCACCCCACACGTTGCCAGAGAGCTTCGTGCGGGGAAAGCAACCAAGACAGTCGAGACGAAACAGCATCCCAAAGTTGGTCACCAGATGATTTTGCGCGCAGTCGATTGTTTCGTCTGTTGTCGGATTGCTTGCTGCCGCGCTCTCTTGTAGTTAGCTTTTTGTCGGATGGGGAAGTTCATGCTGTGGACCTGAACTTGAGATGAAGATAAATTTGATCTTATCAAAGTATGGGGACGGTGAAATAGGCGTTTCCTCGGCATCTTGTCACTTTGGTCTCGCGTGCGGAATTTCTCCTGCCCGGAGCGACCCCCAAAATGCTTCAATCGCATTCGCAAAGGAAGTTGTGTCACAAATACAGCCAGCGCATAGGTAGTCAGCCGTGTCGACTCATGACAGAGCTTCCTAATTCTCTGCGTCCTATGTCAGTGCTTCCCTGCGATAGCTTCAAGGGAAAAAAACATTTTGCTTTCCAACTGAGCCCCGCCATGACTGCTTTTTCCTGCATACAGCGGAGCTGGACTTGCTCCGATCTCGGTCGCACTAGGCCCGCAGACCCGACCTCCCGCGATAAGATCACAACGACCACCGAAGGAAGCACCGAGGAGTGGAGCTGGCCCTGTTACCTAAGCAGTGGCTTACCACTCATCCACTCCTTACCTAAGCAAAGAGTCACGTGCCAACCAGCTTCTCCCAGATGGCGTCCTGTCATCGACCGCTGGCAGCGTCAGCTCAACACGCATGGTATCATTCCATCCCTCGCGACCCGCGGGACCTCGTGCATGTACGACCGACACTCGAAATCAAGATTCGTCCTGGGCTCATGCTGTAGATGAACGTATACGAATTTGCGCAGTTGTCGTCAGGTGTGCAACTCTGCAAAAGGAGACACCCGTCTCTCTATGTCTCCGCCCGCCTGACAGGAAGGATGGAAACCTGCAATGTAACAACAATACATGGTCCTTTTTGGTGTTCATGGGCGTCTATTTTTCATTCCATGCCTGTCAGATATCGATAGTTCGCAAAGCACAATGCCACTTTGCCTCAGCTGAAAATACCCCCGAAATTTGTCTTCGTCCCCGTCAGATCTTGGCGTACGGGGTCTTTCTCTCTTTCTCTACTCCGTTCTACGGATACCTGTCATTACCTACCTGGTATTAGCCCCGTATTCGTGCCATCTGAGTCTCGGACGAGAGGAATTCAACATGCAAGGCCGCAGGCGGCCCGGTAATAGCAACCGAGGACGGGCTTGCATCTTGCTAGGTACTACTGCTGTCCGCTGCCGCCGTCACAGCCACACTCTGCCCAGCCGTTTGTCTCAGTCGCATCTCACTACGTCTCAATTTTTTGGACCTCTTCAGCCCTATCCCAAGAGGTTTCCCTTCCGACTTCCAAGCTTTCCATACTACACCCTTCCCAGTTTCCCCCCCCCCCCAGGTCCTCCACATCATCTCACTTTCGTTTCTTTTTTCCTTTTTTTTCCTTTTTTTTTTTATTTTTTTATTTTTTTACATTCCACTCCAGAGACACACAGAAAAAGGCGGGAGTTTGCGGTTACGGTCGATCGGGATAGTCGGTCAAGTGTCTCACTCCTCCACAGCAGAGACATAGGTATCATAATTCGACCCTGTCGTCTGTCGGCCGTCATCCTTCCGGGCCTTCCTATGTATGTACCTGCAACCACGAGGAGGATCTTCACTGCTGTTGTCCGATCCAACTCTGTGACCTTGTCTTTTTTCTCTCTATACCAATTCCAGCCAGATGCCACCTCACCTTGCCTTAATTCGCAAGAAATAAAAGACCGTCACGACACCATGAACCCCTACGCCCTTTTGTATCTCGCCCTTTTGTTTTTGAGGTTTGGCAAAAGTTCCGCCCTTCCTTCTCCCCGTCACGAAGGTGCCCTTACTACTGCTAGTAGGCGTACATCAGTTTTACGGATAGCAATTATGATAATGACGACGATGATGATAACGCACCTTCGCCTATGACTCACCAAGTCCGAAAGGCGGGCAGGCTATGATCCATGGTGATTAGGAAAACACGAAAGCTAATGCACAGCGATCCTCACGACATTTAGTTCCTCCCCCTTCCCCCTTCCCCCCCGATCCGAAATCCGTATCCGCCATGCCGCCATGCAATGTCCCATCAACCCATGCCACAATTGGCGCTAAACACCCAAGACATCAGCGGAGTCGCGGAGTCGTGGAGTCGTTGATTACCTAGTGGCTTTATGGTTCAAGAACCGAGGCCAAAGAAACCAGGTAGCGAGAAACTCGCGAGAAACAGGCCACAGCTTCGCTTCTTCCTCCTTGTTTCAACCTCATTCGTACCGCCGGAAGCAAGTCAAGCATTGCTGTAATCATTGTACTAAGCCTGCTCGTCAGCATATCAACCTGCATCCTCGCATGTTAGGTATAGAGAGAGGCTAAGGGTAAAGGGACCTCTCAATGTCCACTGGTAGCACAGACTTGCTCCAAAAAAACCATCACCGCCTCATCAACCTCGCCCACGCCTCTAATCCGCATAAACGCTTCAATACCCATTCGCCCAAATCCTTTCCCTTGCAGCATGGTCCCGATGACCATCATCCTCTTCCTTGACTTGGACTCGAACACTATTTCTCCTATACACTAATGTCTGCCTACGTTTCAACTCTCTTGACTACGCCGTACACGTACCCAAGCAAGCCCTGCGCGCGAATCCTGAAATGCTACCTGGGCGCGTTTAAAGCGTGATGCCCACCTAACGCGCGCAAACGGAGGTACATATTCCCAGGCGCTTCGGCGGTGGGCCAGGCAGGCAGGTCATCGGCATTGACAAATGGCAAATGGCAATGTATTTACTGTCATTTTACTGCGTTGCCAGTTGAAGGGAGAGTATCTGTATGCACAGCCTTAATGTGACGTCAAATCAGATAATGCCGGACTCAACGCCGAGCTTTCTAGTCTCACAGTCTCGTCTCATCTCATCTCATCCCATCCAAGGTAGGCAAACTGACGACGAAAAAAATGTAAACCAATATTATTGTAATACTCCCATGAGCTGACGGGTTACACAAAAAGTAGAGACATGAAAAGAGAAAAGAAAAAGGCCCGAGGTGGTCCACGGTAGAAAAGGACCATGCACTAATCACCCCCGAGTCATCCCATGCCCGCTACCTCACGTAGTTCTATGTAATGCGCGCGTGTGTGTATGTACCTCGAGGTATACTATGTACGTTCGTTCCACCGTCAGCAACTATGTACGGTAATCTGTCGATTCTAAGCCACCACCGCCCGTCTCCCCGCACCCTGCAGCTTCCAATACAATGCCCCCCCCCCCCTCCCCATTCCATCCATCCCACATCATCGTGTGTCTCTTTGCAATTAAACAAGCACCGAGAACGCCCTACCCCATCAATGATCACCATCACCATCACCATCATCATCATCACCCATTCCCACAAGGCTGTCTCGGTGACACGGTGTCACTATAGACAAGCAGAAGCGCGCGTTTCACCGCATCCTTCTTCTTTGCCGTCCTCCACCTCGACTGCCACCACAACCACATCCACGCCCGCTCTCTGCTCACCTTACCTTACCTTACCCTAAGCTACCGTTCGATTCGGCAGGGTGTACAAGATAAAGCTCGCCACGGCACAGTAGTGTAGCTTCCTTCCGCGCAGGCAAAAAGCTTCCTTCCGTTATCCCCTAAGCGAGACCTCCGTGGTGTATCCGTACGGTAAAGGTAGGTAGATGGTCTCATCTGATGTGCGTGCTTAGCTTCCCGCTCCCCCGTCAGCTGTGCGATGTATGTATGTAGATGCATTTCGAATTCAGGGTATCTTTGTCTTTCTTGTCTCGTTGTCTGCCTTCTCCTCTTGGCGAATTACTCTGTAATGTCTTCCTGTTTTCTTGGGCCGAAATCGTTGTAGTCGTGTAATAGTGTAGTTTGTCGTAATGGTCATCGTCGTCCATCTCCTCTCCTCTCCTCTTCTCTCCTCTCCAACCCCCCTTTCAAACAAAAACAGTAAGCCGTCGTCCGCATCCATCCAGTTCGACAATACCTCCCCATCCCATCCGATCAGCCCAGTAAGGCCCCGTGCCGCAATGCGAGGAGACCGAGATGCCCGCCCCATATTAAACCTTTACAATCACCTCTCATGGTCCCGAATATGCCTTGCGCCACACCTGCAAGCTACCCCAATCGTCGTATCAATCCATCCTCTCGTCCCCATTCCCACCCCAGTCCCAAGACAGTTGAGCCATAACAAGACTGGAAAAATAGGCACAGCCCCACCGCCATGCAGAAAACATAAGGAAAAGCGTCTCGCGACGTACATCCGTCTATCGATCACCACACACCTTGAGGTAACACCAAGACCACTAAGACCGCTAGGCACAACCACCCTTGCATCCTCCGGCCATGTGCTCCCTGCTTTTCGTGTCCCTGCTTGCCCATTCAGAAGAGCGAATGGGTAGCCAAGTAGGCAAAGGTTCCCAGGGCCCATTATCGTCAGATGTGCAGTGGTCAAAGCCACGCAGCCTGCATAGACTTCTTCTCGAAGCCTTCCCACATGGGCAAAGCCTGTCGTTGAAAAAACAACCTCTTCCGCGAACCTCATACCCTGCTGCTCCACATGACCGCCTGGGACCATGCAGTCCATGCCCAATCGTATCTAGACTCAGTAGGTAACATCATGGCCTGTTGAGCTAAGGACGGACTGACTTTGCTGCGACTGTTGCTGGCCACCAATTCCGAAAGAGAAAGTGAGCTGCAACAAGGCCGAGTCGTGCCGACGTGATTGGTTGTGCAACCCGACTCTATGGTATGGTTGCCAACGTCATAAGCTTGTGTTGCCTCAGCCGCACTCTTGTCAGTGGGCCACACCAAAGAAAGAGAGACGTTTTGCCGGGTCGCTAAAAGCCAGCATGTCGTGTCGGGCGACGGCCCTGGCTCCTGTACTCCGGAACCTGGGCTTCGTTTCGCTGTCAACTTTTACCGCCTTCTTCCTGTGGGGAAAGCAACCGGGGCGTCGTTTTCCAAGCTCTTGCAGGTGCGTCTTCACCTCTAGGCATCAGCTTTGCCCGTGCCTGTGGCCCAATGGTGATCCGCCTTCGACGATGGGGCAGTGCCAACGATGACCCTCAATGCCAACCTCGCGCACGCTTGCGTTTGTCTTCACACGGATTCTTGCACTTGGGGCAAACGTGGTCCGGATACGAATTGACATCAACCCTTATCAAGCACTTTGAGCACCGCCACCATCGCGACGAGAGATTGCGTCCCTGGAGCCAGCTGTCGTCCACGTGGGTGCCCCGCTTGAAAATGTCTTCGTTGTGATAGTCTCGCAGGTGATCTCTGAAGTGGTCACGTCGTCCGAATGGTTCGCTTCTTCGCGAGCACTTTGGATAGTCGCACTTGTGAGCTTCCTTCTTTGAGGGGTCTTGGTGGACTTGTCTATAGTGTCTCTCGAGGTCGGCCTTGCGCTTGAACGGGTTTGCTGTGCATCCTGCCTCGAGGCAGGGGAATTTGTAGTCCACGACTTCTTGCTGCTCTTGGCCACTGCGCACAGCATTGTTAGCACAGCTTGACCATCTCTGTCAGAGGCCTCCGCATTGACTAACCCTTGATGGGGTATCACTGTTGGATACTGCCCTGCAGGAACATATCGTGGTTTCATCTGCCAGTAGCCTCCGTCTTCAGTGGGAACGTAGTCGTACTGCGACCAGTCTACGTTTCCATAGTAAGGTTCAGACGCTTGTTGTGCCGATGAAGACGCAGCACTCGCATACTCGTCTGCATAGTATCCTCCATAGCTCTCGTCGTAGCCATCGCCATAGTCACCCGCAGGAGAGTGGCTCATGTTATGCGTGTATGAGTATGACATACCAGGCGAAGAGCCGTATGAAGATGGTGTAAGAGGACCTCGGGAGCTGATATCGGAGGGCTGGCGAGCAAGTTCCGGAGCCTCTAGGAAAGTAGGGGAGTCAAGGTAGTCTCCTGCCGATACTGGAGACGTTGCGTTAACATGATAGCCTGCTCCGCGGTAATAGTGGCTGTCCATTGTTTCTGACTTAAACAGGTGGAACTGTCGTGCTGTCTAAACCGTTTATATCCCGGCTTCTGGATAGCAGTTCAGTAAAGGGAGGGTGACCTGGCAAGGTTGGGGGGAGCATACAACATTTAAAGGAGAGTAAGCAGTAGCGAGGAATGCCGGGAGCCAAGGAAAATATACCAACTTACATGGGATGCCAGTGTCAGACTCGTGGGGGGGTAGGCAGGCTGGTTTCGGAGAGTCAAAAACGTGGCTCACACATAAATACCCATGGAAGTAAGGTAGCTTAGATTGTGAATAAGTAGAGTACAGGCAAAAATCCTCGTCGCCGTGGGGTTTATAGTCCAGAAAGGAGTGGAAGTCTGTTCATGAACAGGGTAAGTGTTAGGCAAAGTGCAGTACCGAACTACACTAGAGTCCGAGCAGGTAAAGGATTTGTTGAAGTGATTCCCAAATGACAAGCTCACGAATTGGAGGGGAAGTGGGTGGTTCAAGTATGAGCGGGACAAGGCAAATTCAAGTTTCACCGCCTTGGAGCTGGAAGGAATAAAGGTGGCAGCGAGACGTCAAGCGGCACAGATACACGAGCAGGCGGTAGAATGGGGTCATGGCAACCCACCAGCACAAGGCTTCGACCTCCGTAAGACGGCCTTGGCCATGGGGAGCCTCAAATGAGCGGGCATGTCGAACGTCGTAAAGCTCCATCAGCCCCCGGGCCATTTCCGCGTAGGGTGAAGATGGGATAGAGTTGTCTTGGCCATACGGCGCGAAGCGAGGAAACAACTGCAAGTGCTGGGGTTTCTCCACCAACTTGAACGTTTGATCAAGTGAGAGGCGGTCCTCGGTGAGTGACATGCTTCTAGAAGGGGGCTTAGAATCGCCAGCCACCAAGTCGATGGATTCATGCGGGAAGACATGCATAACTGGCAACCTGGTCTGAGAACAAACCGGCGAGATTCGAGATCAGGTCAGCCCAAGACCCGCCAGATACTCCCATGACGATGCACCCACCTATCACTCGACAGGGCTGGCGGCGGGGTGGTTAAAGAGCGCTGTACGGATACATTCGAGGGGGCCTCAACCGCCGTTGACATGGAATCGAAAGGGGGGACCAGTTCCGGCTGGGCAGTCAGCTCTGAGTTACCATGAGTGTTTTTGGGCCGACTTCATTGGTAAAAGGTACTGGCGACCCAAGACATGTCTGGCAGGCCCAAAAGATAAACCGGGGCAGAGAAAGGCCCCATTATGGAAATGTTTCTGGTGGTCGGTTTGTACGGCACGGCAGGGTCAAGGTCAGTCAACCCAGAGTTGGGGACTCGAGGTACCGCGTCTAGTGCAGGACCGGACAAGGGGCTCGAAGATAAGCCAGTGAGCTACGAAACCGACAGTTGTGAGATATGTCATGGATGGCGAGAAATTGTCGCTCAGTGGCATAGCAAACTGGACGGTAGCAATTAGGGCGTTGTAGGGCTCGGGCTCGGGGCGGACTTGGCAGGATGCGATGCGGCTGTCTAGATGGACTGAAGATCGGAATCGCGGAGGAGAGGCTTGACTGGTAGAATATCTCGTTGCCTGGCCCCGCACTGCCACACTAGTGTGCGCGTGAACGCTTGCAGTCCCAGCCCTTGCTGCTGTGCAGGGTCCGAATGCTAGAGTGGAATCAGCCAAGAAACAATGGTACCGCAAATCATGAAGCCCTCACTGGTCCAATCGTAACCAGGTAGGTGAGGCCATAGTAAGCCTAGGGGGCGGTTTGGAATCCAATGGAGTCTCTCACTCTCTGGCGGAGGACCCCTCTGCCCAGCGAAGCGATTCCCTTCTGGGGCAGACATTGAATACGGAGTACCGTTGTACCTCGGTTGCTTTCCTGGGAGTGAGTTGCTGTCATGGCTCATTGATGGATTGTGTGGTGCTGCGCAGCACAGTTGCAGTGCAACCACTGTCACATCGAGGTATTCCATCGGGGGCCAATCCGCTGGATCCGCCGCAAAGCTGCATGTTGCCTACCGGAATAGCCTGAGACCCAGAAGGACTGATGAGTGATGGCCAACCAAGTGAACCGGTTCCGGGGCGATTCCAGGTCCGATTTCCTGTCTCCTCGGCCACGTTGCCCCCTCTGAGCGTCCGCCGACCCTGAACGGGGAACAGTGATACAGGCGGTGACGGCCATAATGAGTATGTAGTCTGTAAGATGGTGAAACTTCACCCTTTTCGCGCAAACGACACCTTGCAATGGTCAGGTGTCTTTGGCAAGATAGGTAGGTGCCCTACTTCTGGCGTGGGGACGGAAGAATCGGGAGATAGCGGCGGGCGTGCTTCATGTCCGGCTGACGGTCGATGCAGGTTTGGTTCGGTGAGCAAGTCAGAGAGGATACGGCGATACGAAAAGGTGCCTTTTTTTGTCATGCTGGTGTAAATCAGAGTCTGTTGGATCTTCAAAGAGGCGCATATCGTGTAGTAGCAGGATCCATTCTGATGGGCCTTTTGCTCGGACGAGCCATTTTCTGGCGTGAGAAAACACGGAGGCCAGGTATGCGATACTGTTGGAAAAAGGTTGAGAGACCTCGAGATGTGGATTCGGTCCAACGTGTTGGAGTCACTTGGAGAGGTGTTCGAGCCTCGTGGATGGTCAGAAGAGACTTTGATGACTCCAGGAAAAGGTAGTCATCTGAATAAACCGCTCTGCCAACGGGCTTTTGCTGGGTCCTACCCATGACGCTCGACTGGGTTCACGGTTGCTAGTTGGGAAGGAGGCAAGTTGGCAGGTCCGCGACACGCCCGGGGGAAGGAAAGGTGGGCCTCGACAACCTTCTAGAAATCTTCCATCGCTTGTGCAAGACCCTGTCAACTTTGTCGGAAGGTGGTGATGCATCATGGCCCTCCATTGGGCCTGCCGCTTGCCCCACTAACCTTAAGGTACTTTCTTCTCATGTTCCACCCTCTCGACCTTAGGTACCGGTAGGAGTCTCGTCACGTTGTGACGCTCTAGATTTGCAGTACCATGTCAACATGCTCCTTTGCACCTGGCGAATCGTCACCACCTTAGCCAGCAGGTAGGTAAGCACGCAGATGAGAGACTGCCGCTTTGCCGCCGTCGACTTCCTTACTTTGCTCTTGCTTTCCTGCACGTATATGCCGCTTCAACAGTACTGGCTACCCTTACTGGCCTTGGCCCGTCCAGTCATTTCGCTTCATATCGACGTGCCTCATACCTCCTGGCCATGTTCGCCCGGCTTGTGATAACACAAGTGGCGGAGTGATTTATTGCAGAATGCCAATGGTTTGCGCTGGCTGGAAAGCTTGATTGCAACCCTCCACAGTTCCATGCTTCGTCATTGTCGCCTCAGCCCTGGCATTGGTTCTGACCATTCGGAACGCCCACCGGCGCATCCATAACCCAATTCGTCCTGGGTGGCTACGTACGTCTAAGACTTGGAGAATCGTGGGGGATAAGGTATTCGTCAACCCACCCGCTGGCGGCTATGTTTTGTGTCACGCAGAAACGGATCCACACGGGGCAACTGTCGGGGTGGCCGGAGCTTCCAAGGAGCCTGGAGGTCCTCTTCTCAACTTATTTCGGCCGAGCCTGGATCCGGGCGCCGGGGTGCAAGCCGTCATCGACTCCCCCCAGCTCCTAGAGCGTCCAGTGAGGTGGTTGTATGGAGTACTGGAACAGGCCATCTCCGATAGGGCCAGAACACACTGCACCGACCGGGATCTTAGTTTGCATTTATGCTGACCGCCGAGGACAGGGTCCCTGATATCATGGCAGGGCAAACGGCCTTGGCGGTGCCGAAAGTGCTCAATCTAAGGTCACGCGCATTGCGAATAGGTTGTCTTGTCTTCATGTGCAAAAGCCGAATTGGAGCGGCCTGTAGCCTCCCCCTTTCATAGCCAGTCAATAGTCAGTGTACTTCAACAAAGGTGAGCCAGATAGACCTTGGCTGTATGTTTCCGCAAAAAGAGGCAACGCCGTTCCTCCCGATACCAATGGTTTGAGGCCCCCATCCCAATTCGAGGCTACGCCTGGCATGAAACCCCGTAAACCTTGCTGCCTATTCATACATCGTCCTCGAGGAATTTGTACGCGAACTTGAAGTCCGCCTTTCTTCGGTTCATCCTGCCCTTTGAGTTAGCTTAATTACCTCAGTTTAACGTCTTCAAGAAAATAACTCACCATGTGCTTTCGTAGTCGAAGAAGCGGTATGTGCCCTGCTCGAATTCCTCGGTGATGTTCTTTGGCTCTTCGTGGCGCTGGAACCAGGTTTGATATTGCTTGTGGAACCGCCAGCTCTGGTCCTTCAACGCCTTGGCGGCAAGGTATTGCTGGGGCGTGCCTTGCTTGTAGTAGAACACGTAGAAGAGCGTGTCAGGGTCGATCCGTGAATATAGCCGCGGGTCATCAAACAAAGGGAGTGGCTCTTGAGGAAAGCCAACGCCGGTTGATGTCAATCGCAAGTCGGGACGGTACGTTCTGGGTACATCTGCATCCATGATGTCGGGACACGTAGCCTGGCTGGTCTGGAGCATGCGTTGCGTGGATGGCGAGTTGAGAGGCGCTGGGCGCTTGCGGGAAGCTTCAAAAGACTCGACGAGGTCTTGCAAAGATGACGGAAGGTGATATATGGACTCTTCCTCTCCCTCTGCTGTAGCCTGGATCCCATTTGTGGCACCGTTTGTTTGAGATGCTAAAGAACATTAGTAAACTATGAAAATGGTCACGGTGCTGGGCGGACTTGCCTTTGGCTGCTCCCGAAGCACTTGCCGCAGCCTGCTCCTTTTTCGCACGCTTCTCTGCCTTGGTAGGGGCCGAGACGGCCTTTGTGTTCGTGTTTGTGCTTGTGCTTGCGCTGGCGCTCGCATTTGCGATCGGTGGTTCGCTTGGGGTTGTTGATGGTGGTGGTGGCTGCTTGGGTTCGGGCTCCTTTGCTGCAACAGGGTGCGCTGATGTCGTTGCGGGTGAGCTTGTAGCGCTGGTTTTCGATTGCGAGCCCGGCGTACTGGCAGGGACGGGTGCTGCGCCTGGCGGAGGGGGCAAGGGAGAGATGCCGATCTTGTCTGACGCTGCCGCTGCCGCCGCCGCAGACGCGTATTTGAGGCCTTCAGCAGGTCTTGCGGGGGCTACCGCTGGCTTCATCGTAGGACCGGTTGCTGCGCCATTGCCAATGATTGTCGGCATATGCAAGGTAGCTAACGCAGGCAGTGGGGACTTGTTCTGTGAGCTCGACCTGCGTCCTGAAGCAGATGCTTCTGCTACCGCCTTTGGCTTTGGGGGAGCCTTGATGATTTCTGGTTCGGGTGTCGGTTCCTCCGCTATTGACTGAGCGTCTTGCGATGAGCCCTTGTCGCCATCTTGAGCTAGGCCAAATGCGCCCTCGTCCTCGTCCAGAGCGAGCTCCTCGTACATCTCCTCGTCCTCGACAAAGTCATCGTTCATGCCATCCGAGACGTAATATCGAATCGTCTCTTCGAGTTCAGTAACCTGATCCGTGTCGACTCCGCCGTTCTCTAGAGATCTCCGAATAAGCTCTAATTTGCCCTGATGCCACTTATGACGTTCGATGATGCGCTCGATCTCGGCCATTCGTTCCGCCTTGGCAGTTTGGCTCTTGCCCTTCTTCATCGTCGCTTGTATCGATTCGGCCTCGGCTTCTAGGGTTTCGATTTGTTGCTCGAGCTCGTCGACCATGCTATTTAGGAAGTCGCTTGCCTCGGCTTTTGCTTGTTCTTGGGGATCGAGCTTGGCTGAAGAGGCTAACCCTTCCTTGGAGTATGCCTTGGTCTTCATAGCCTTCTCTACGGCCTTGAACTTTTCCATTTGCTACAGAGGGGATTAGCGGGACCGCGGGGAAGAGCTACGACCGGGGAGTTGGTAGACCAACCGTCTCGATCAACCTTCGATGCTCCAGCAAAGGAGACTT